ACACGTGTTGTGGTAGCACCAAGCTATTTAGGTGCCACTATGGAATACTCAAGCTATGCATCCAACGGGTTGGGAGCTTTCCCATAGGGTCGACCTGCAGGCGGCCGGGAATTCATTAGTGATTAGAGTGGTCGCGGCCGAGGTACTACCGGGACTTCGTGCGGGAGCTCAACAAGGCCCTCGCCGTGGACCCGAGGATCGAGATGTGCATGCTTCCCGTGGGGGATGGCATCACCCTGTGCCGCCGGGTCAGCTGATGGCAACTGAAAGGAGATCTCAAAATCAAGCATTGATGAAATGAGGAACTACCCTTGATAATTTCCTTCCTTTGTAGTTTGGCAGGGACAGGGGTGGCGCGGGCATGTGAAGGGTTGGAAAGTAAGTTGAATTCTTTAGTTCGAAAAAGCGAACATGCTAATTTTCAACTCCTAATCATCGACTAGTATATCTCTTCCTATTTAGAATTCTTATCCCAACCCTCCCACAGCAGAGCTACAGGAGGCAGAGTTACTACAATCATATCCACCAACTGTATAACCAAAAACGTCATAATCTCACACCCAACACCTTGACCACTACACACCAGCGTTACAGATTAATCCCCTGTCGCAACATCAACATCCCCTGGAAGTCTTCACTTTTACCCCACTTCTTGCATGCGACTGTACTACTGTAATATCACGCTACTACCTACTATGCCCTATACGTTAGTAGACCCTTGTTACATCTACGACTATAGACTACAATTACTAGCTCGCTTTGTAACCTCGTCATCCTTTTGATGGCTGTCTGCTGTCGCCGCTCAGGTCTCGATAGCTAATTCGCTTCTCCAACGCACACGGTTACTAGGTAAACTGAGGAAGGTTGCACGAAGCCCCCGCCCTGCTTTTGAATCTCCAAACTTCAGTGTTGAAGCTGCACGATGATATCAGGCACCATGGTAGGCGTCCTGGGGGATGCTTTAATTTGGCGCGTGTGGTGCTGGAAGGATGACTGGCTGGCAGTGCTGATGTCTATGAGGCATTGTGAGCCCGAGATCTGAGACGCTTGGAGTGCGGGTGGAAGGAGGTGGCTTGGGTGTTCTGACGTGTGGGTACACTGGTACTGGTGATCTGGTGTTGATGGCCGATTATATTCGATATTGTGTATTTAATACCACAGAATGGTAATGATTGCTGCAATGCAAAAGGCAGCTTGGCCAGCATGACGGAGCGAATATCACACCCGAAACACATGTTTGGACCTGCTTCTCCAACAACCATCTTCGCATGACTGCGCTAGGCTGTCCGGCATTGCAAGTTTCTCCTATCTTCGGATATGTAACTATTTGACTACTCTTCATAAGGAAGATCCATGCCAAACGTGCTAGCGAGAGATGCATGCTCCTGCTCATCGTAGACTCTCAGGGTAAAGTATCTGATAAAGTGGCTTTTCCTGGTCGATACAGTCCTGTACAGTTAGGCCAGGAAGGCTGTCATTGCGAACCCGGTATAACCTGTTAGCTAGCAAGGGTGAAAAAAACTGTGTAGCTGTCCCCCCTGTGATTGTTAGTCGGCCATGCGTATACTTGAGGGAGGATGCTTGGACACACTGCTTTCTTTTGTGTACTCAATGAGAGCCATTTGCATCTCAGCAATTTAACCAAGTACTATATTCTGAATAGGCCTTGGTGGATCCGTAGGTGTCCAGACAAGAGGTGAGCCTTCACTCCATGACAGCGCCATGAAGGGAAAGCCCACCAAGTTGTCAAATGTGAGGCTAGAACCACAGTATTTTGGAGCCCAGCGAAAGCCTTTTCTGCCAAGTTCTTCAAGAATACATTGTTCATCTTGGAGCATATGAATGATGGTATCTTGGGATCTACACTGTCCGTGGATCGGGATGCGTATAGACCAGCTTTCTCCGTTTGGAAAGTCTACCTTGAAGATGCGACATTGGCCACCATCCCAGTGCCGTTCATTGAGGATTGGAATCTCGCCGTCAGAGCGCAAAGTAGAGACGGCGGCGGTTAGATTTTCAGGATGGAAGGTGTGCATTGGGCTTCGTGGGGGTTGTGTAAAAGAGTAAGAAATTAAAGAATAGGAGTAGAAGGTACCGGTACCGGTACCTCAGAAGTCTGGGATTCGTGTCTCGAGCGGGTGTCACCGTGTGCGAACGTGACTAGTCTGTTCCTCTAGAAGATCTATGATTTTAATATCGAAGTGCACACTCTACACGCTGCTTTCCTATAGATTGTAAGACTACTTTGAAGGAAGAATAGGCCCTTCACGTTACATAATCTATTTCTTAAAGTATCTTTGAAGGGTACCGTAAGATTGGTGGTTGCGCCTTTTAGGTAATGTTTGGCTTAGACTAGAGTAGGGGCCTATAACTTGGCGGCTGGTATATAGTAGGCCTACATATCCATGGCTTTGGCATGACGGAATAAAGTGTGTCCTGTGCTGATACGCCAGAGGCTAGATGCGAGATGGCTCTGTTGCCCATGGTCCGCAAGGTTCTCGGCCCTCTTCCGGGACACTCGGCGAGACCTAGTGGCGATGGGCAGGCAAGCTATAGGCTGCACGCGCTGGACATGTGCGCAAGGCCAGGGAAAAAGCAAAGCATGTAATTGCATGTGTGCAAAGGAGGGTTAAGATGCATATTGAGACCCTGATCGTCGAATAGGCACATCATCGGACAAGAGTCGATTCGCTTTCGGGCCGGGTGCGAGACGGTGCGAATGGGCGATGCTGAAGACAGCAGAGGAAGAAGACAAGACAAGGCAAGAGGTTCATCAGTTGCTAGCATATGTAAAGGCTGCCTTCGACTGCCGGGTCCATGGAAGACGCAAACGAACATCTGCACCGTGGTTGTCTTGTGTGGGCTTTGTCGGTCGTCTGTCCTCTCTATCCCCCCCAGTCAGTCTGCACGTCAAGTGGTAGGAGGGAGCATCGCCACACAAGAGCTGCAAACCAGTTTGAGTGGCCAGTCACGGCGGTGATCCTTGATGCATAGTACAAGGTTGGATACATGATATAGGAGTAGTAGAGCCATCATTATGAGCGAACATCCACCACCACCACCACCACCACCACCACGGGTGCGTTTCTCCAGCCTGGCCCATAACTCGTTCTTAGCAGACGACATGGCCGCCGAACCTACTCAGCCGATTGTCGTCAACGGGCCTCTGCGCACCGAAAGCACACAGAGCTCGGGCAGCAGCGAGTCGTCAGCCAGTTCCGATGGTGGTGAAGTCAGGCTTGGCGGCAATCCCATGGCCCCAGCAGCCCATGGCCATTACCACTTTGCACCTGCAGTCACTGCATCGCCCGTCGACGACCAGATTGCGCCCTTGGGAGGTCTTTCATACAGTTGGAGCAGCGCTGCATCCTCGCGCCCGCGTGGTCCTCACATCATGACCGACCTGCCACCCGCCGCCACCGCCGCCGCCCCTCATGGCCCAGCAGCAGCCAGCGTCAATGTCAACGGAGGCGGCAGCACACCCACGTCTGCTCGCACACCGCGCCCTGGAGCCATTCGCACGCCGTCCAATGCCTATGCCCCTGCCCGCCGCCCCCAGCAGTTTTCGCTCAACAGCAACACCACACAGCACCGCAACCGCGCCTCGTCGGCCTCGCGCGCCCGTCGCAACCCAAACGCCGAGTACCGCGCCCAGGAAAAGGCCTATGTACAGCGCATCCGCCAGGAAGACCAGCAGGATGACTTCTTCGACCCGGCCCTGCGCACCCCCAGCCTGGGTTACAGCACCGACTCGGAGACGGACGATGAGAGCCCCTCCACGGCCGAGTATGTCGACAACGATCCCTACGACCAGGAGACGCTGCTCTACTATGGCAACAACGACGACATGCAGCCGTCTATTGAAGAGCTCAAGATCCCCGCCAATCGCGAGCGCCTCGAATGGCACTCGATGCTGGCCAGTGTGTTGACGGGCGATGTGGTCAAGCAGGAAAAGAAGCGGCTGATTGGCAGTGGCGAACAGCAAGGTGACAGCACCATGAAGGCTGAGATTTGGATGGGCATACGCGCCAAGGTCTGCGGCCGCTCGCTGCAGGCACAGCGCCGCATTGTCGATGACACACGCAGCAAGATCAGGGCCAACCTCGAAAGCATCATCTCCTTCGAGGTCGGTGGCGAGGCTGAGGCTGGCCAGACCGCCGCCCAGCAGGTCGAAGACATTGTCAAGAAGATTGAAAAGGTCGAGAGCGTCTATCCCACCCGCCAGGCCCTCGAGGCAGCCTACCCACGAGCCGCCTCGAAACCCTACAAGGATGCCTGCGATGCCGTCATCGCCTGGCACAACACCATCGCCCTTATCAACACGGAGATGTCCATTTTGAAGAAGTGGGTGGGCAATGACGAGCTCGACTTCACAAAGCCCCGCCCTCGCTCTTCGCAGGACCACCACCTGACGGACGAGTCTTCGTTCATTGACCGCATCCTCAAAGAAGACGGTCTCAAGTCGCTACAGGGCGACACGAACCTGCTGAAACCACTGGAAAAGGTGATTCAAAAGGCCAAGAATACGCTCATTGCCAATGCCGAAGGCTTTGCAGACCGCCATCTTCCCCCCTATATTGAAGAATTGCTCACCCTCATCAACTTTCCATCCCGTCTACTACAAGAGATTATTCGTGTCCGGTTATCATACGCCAAGAAGATCAAGGATCCATCACAACAAGGTGTCATGATGGCCGAACAGATGATTGCTCAGTTCCAGATCTTGCTCGCCATGGCTGGCCAGGTAAAGGAGAGTTACATGGTCATCTCACGGCCCGAGCCGGGTTGGGACCTACCTCCTTGCATCGAGGAGAACTTTGACGTGGTTGTCTTGGATGCGCTCAAGTTCTACTTTAAGATGCTGAACTGGAAACTCGCCGCCAACAAGAACACCTTCAAGGAGGCTGAAATCCTCGAACAGGAGTGGGACTTTTGCAACAAGTTAGGCAGGCAACTTCAGGGCGGCGATGTCGAGACGGCCGAGCAATTCAGTGTCCTCACCTCCAAGTCGCTCACCCGTCTCAGCGCACATTTCGAAAGGGAGTTGCAGCGCCGACCTGACGAGCTCACGGGATCCGAAATGGAAAAGCGGTACAAGCAGATTCTGGATTCCGTCCGTGTTCGGCAGCGTAAGCTGTTCCGTTTCTCGAGAATTCTCACACAGCGCTTCGAGAATTGCACAGAATACAACATCAACCACATAGATCTGGACCAGGAACAGTTGGCCGACCTGTACGAAGCACTGGTCATTACGAACCACTTCCTGGTCGAAACAAATGATGGCACGAATGCGGGTGTATATATTATCGCCTCGCCCGCTCTGCTGGAACGACCCAAGGATATCCAATCGCTACTCACAACCTGCTATCACGCCGAAGAGGCCCCTGAGGATCCTTCGAATCCCTATGTCTTGATCATCAGGCCTGAGCAACCCTTGTACTGGGCCGGAAACAAGATGAAGGCCGATATCCACGAGCCTCATCTCGACCTGAAACCAGGCCGACTACGTCTTGTGGCGGATGGCTCTCAGCAGCGACTAGCCAACGCGAACGTCTCTTTCCTGTCAGCTATTGGAATCGAACTCAACACGTTGATTGAGCAGCGAGCCAACCTTCCACGCGTCAATCAGGAGTTGCAGAAGATCAAAAAGACGGCATGGAAGCTGTCCAATACCATTATGGACAGTGTTGAAATTGTTCGTAAGCAGACTGTGGGCCTTGACTGCCAAGATCTCATTCAGACTTGCTTCGCCTTCGCGACCGAGTTTGGTCAGCGTTCAGTCTTGTACTTGGATTACAACCGTCGCGCATGGAACAACATCAAGTTGACCAGACTAGCCCTAGACTGGGTCAGCTTCATCTGTGATGATTGTATTGCCTCCGACCGCAAGACCTTCCGCTGGGCTGTGGTGGCTTTGGAGTTTGCTATGATGATGACACGCGGTCAAAACATCTTGTCGATCAGCGATGAAGAATACTCGCAGCTCCGACTCAAGGTTGCTGGCTGCATGTCTGTTCTCATCTCGCACTTTGACATTATGGGGGCAAGATCGACCATTGCTGCTCAAGCTGAGCGCCAGCGCCTCAACGCCATCGCGGGCAAGAGTCTGGTGGATCCCATGAACTCCAAGGACGATGAAGAATCGATTGAATTGACGCAACAGCAATGGATGCAGAGGCTAGAGGAAATCGACTCTTTCCGCAAAGACAAGGAGGCTGAGCGTCAAGCTCTGGGTCGCGTACTGGAAGACTCCAATGAAGCTGACCGTGCGCTCACCTACCTATCCTCTTCTGCGACCAACGTCACCCTCCGATGGCAGCAAGGCCAATTCGTCGGCGGGGGTACCTTTGGATCTGTGTACGCGGCTATGAACCTCGACTCGAATCATCTGATGGCTGTCAAAGAAATTCGTCTGCAAGATCCTCAGCTGATCCCTACCATTGTCGCTCAGATTAGAGACGAGATGGGTGTGCTGCAAGTGTTGGATCACCCCAACATTGTCTCCTACTACGGTATTGAGCCCCACCGGGACAAGGTCTACATCTTTATGGAATACTGCTCGGGTGGCTCGCTCGCCGGCCTCCTGGAGCATGGTCGCATTGAGGACGAAACGGTCATCATGGTCTACGCGCTACAAATGTTGGAAGGTCTCGCCTATCTACACGACTCTCGCGTCGTTCATCGCGACATCAAGCCTGAAAGTAAGCTTTCCCCCCGTCCCCAGACTCCCTCTCCAGTCCCCCCATACTGACCCCGCCAGACATCCTCCTCGACCACAACGGTGTGATCAAATTCGTCGACTTTGGCGCTGCAAAGCTCATTGCACGGCAAGGCCGCACCCTCGCCGCCGAACACACGGCGACCCGCCAGGGCCGGCAAGGCTCCATGACGGGAACGCCTATGTACATGTCCCCCGAAGTCATCCGCGGCGGCTCCACAGGCCGCCACGGCGCCGTCGACATCTGGTCCCTCGGCTGCGTCATTCTCGAGATGGCGACGGGGCGCCGGCCGTGGGCGTCCATGGACAATGAATGGGCCATCATGTACCACATTGCCCAAGGGGACCCACCGCAGCTTCCCACGCGCGACCAGCTCTCAGAGCAGGGCATCGACTTTTTGAAAAAATGCTTTGAGCGCGATCCCGTCAAGCGCGCGTCCGCCGTCGAGTTGCTCCAGCATGAATGGATCATGGCGCTTCGGGCCCAGCTCAGTCTCGAGCCACAGACGCCGAGTACGGAGGGGCCGGGGAGTCAGGGGAGTACGCCGCAGAGTAGTCGGCAGAATTCTTCTTATTGAGACTTCTGTTTTTTTTACACACTCTCTCTCACACTCTCTCTGTTCTTTTCTCTTTTGCCCCGAAGTAGTTTTCTTTTTTTTCCGTTTTGTATATTTTACAACGATATTCGGATAGGCTTTGATGTCTTGCTGTTTTCGTTTCTAGCGGGAAGGCTGGAAGGGGGGATGGAGGGGGGAGAGTTGTTTGTGGGTTCTTAGTCTTTTGTTTGTTTCTTTCTTTTGCGGGATTGGGCTTGGGAGTGGCTGTTGCTGTTGCCATGCTCATACCCATACTATACATGTACATCTCTTCTCCTCCCTCCCTTCCCCTTTACCCCCCCCCCCCCCCATACACAGAAACCACGGTTCCCGGCTATCTCGGCTCAGTTTCTTTCAGTTTGGTTAGGATGTATTCGCATCAGCTCACCGTCGTCGTTGTTCTTTGCATCAGCGGAGGCGTTTTCTTTTTTCCTCTTCTTCTTGGGTTGGGTCGTTCTATCTTTAGGCATGGGCCGGGATGTGAGATTATTCTTGTTTGCTGCTCCTGCTCCTGCTGTTGTTGTTGTTGCTGTCTGTCGTTGTTTTCTGACAGGAGAGATGGATGGGTGGGTTTGTCGCGCTGGCTGGCTGGCTGGCTGGCTGGCTGTCTAGTGGAGCCTTAACTAAAAAGGGATGAACGGGTTAAGGATGAGTGGGTTTGGAAACATATAGTGGGTATTATTATTTTTGTATGATGGATTAAGGGGATGGGTGGGGCTGGGGAATGGAGAATGGAGAGAGGAGTAGGCGGATGGGTATATATAGTAAAGCAATGATGAGGGACTTCGTTTATCCGGTGGACATATTTTACTTTTGAAAATTCTGATGTTGTTTGTTTCAACATTGGTCTAATATTCTTAACATGAAGTCTACTAGCGTATCGTGCGGTTGGTAGACAAGGGCACGGGACATAAAGCCGCGGTATGATTCACAGGTTGGTTATGCTTAAGAGGAGGTAGGTAGATAGCTCGAAGACCTGGCCTGCTGCATCTCACACACCGACCCACACCGACACAACAACCGCCTACTTCCCCTCGCGCATGTTGCGGAAAAAGTCCATGACACCGGTGAAGACGACGAGCAAGATACCACCACCGGGACCCAAGCGCAGAACCTTGGGCAAGAAGCCCTTGTACAGGGCCGGAAAGCCTTCTTCCTTCATGACAGTGCCGAGTGCAGGCCAGGCCCAGTTGTACTTTGGCGTTGTGCCTGCGATCTTGGGGGAGTTTTGGATCCGCGACTTGACCACGTCCATGGGGGTGTTGAGGAGGGTACCGACGGTTCCGCCGACGGCGCCGGAGAGCAGGTCGTTTGTGATTTGGCCCTTTTTATCCGGGGCGGCGGGTAAGAGGGCGCGAACCTGGAAGATGCAGCCAAAGTAGCCGGCGTTCCAGAGAATATGGCGCCACATGGTGGACTCGAGGCCTTGGTAGAGGGTGAGGGGACCTTCTTGCCGGACAATCTTCATGACGCAGTCCATCATGCCGTTGTACTTGTGCGCTTGGGCCTTGTCTTGGAGGCGGATCTTGACGAGCTCGAAGGGGACGACGACGAAGGATTCCGTGGCTCCGGCGGTGGCGCCCGTGAGGATGGAGAGGGATTGGTTCATCTTGTCTTTGCCGAAGAGGTTGCGGTAGAATGAGCCCCATGAATCGTTTGCTGCGAACTTGGTGGCCCTGGCATCATACGTCAAGACCTGGGTTTGGTAGGGGTGGGATGTGACGTTCTATCCACTCACCTCTTGGGGGCTTCCATGAGAATGGGGGCGGAGATGCCGCGGTACAATCTTGAGAAACTGGCAATCATAAGCCTACACAGTCTTCATGGTGTGTAGCTATGGTCGCATACCCCTCGTTCTTGATGATCTTCCTGAAGCAATCCACCATGCCATTGTAGCCCTCGTCACCGACTGCCTTGCCCGTCTGGAGTTGTCTGTATGGGTTTAGGTGACTGCGGCGCGGTGATAGGACGTCATGCTTACACTCGGGTCTTGACAACGTCTAGCGGGTACCTAAGTAGATGGTCAGATGTAAACAGGGAGTGCAATAGGCAGGTACATACATGATCAGAATCTACACGCCCAACACATGGTCAGCATTCGGATCCGCACGCGAGCTTCACTACAGCTTGCGCCCACTCACTTCAGACACACCAGCCACGGCACCTGAGATTTGTCAGTCGCAGTCTCCATGATGAGGTTCCCATTGATCATGGGAATGAATTCTCATCTCTGGCGAAATGTGAAAGGTCGCATGCGGCGCATGTCACGATTGCGTGAAAGTGTCGATATAAATTGATGGCCGACTCATCGCTTGGAGGAGGAAGGGCGGGATTTGCGCAATTGAGACTTACCAGCCGCGAACTGGTAGACGAAAGGCAGAGGCTTTGCGTCGGCTTGAGACATGTTGGCAATGGAGTGCTGGAGACGAGGGTGGGGGGAGTGAAAGGGAGGGGGGGAAGCCGGGGTGGTGGTAAGAGAGCACGAGAAATCGCGGGCACAACAGATCTGGGGAAAGCAGGGTGGGATACCGGTAGCGGGATATGCATAACTTCATACATAACTATGGGTACATTGACTTGCCCCAATAACGCTTAGACTCCTAGCTACGGGCCCGAGCTCATGGAATCAATCGATAAGACATGTTCATCACATCAGCACAGTGGCCGGTACAACTATCAATTCCTCCTCGGCCAAAATCTTGAGATAGATGCGCCGTAAATGAATCACAATGTAAATGATAATTCATTTTTTGTTTTACTGCAGTGGGCAATTCGGGTGAGTACAGGTCAGTGAGCCGCAGGATAGTCAATCAAAGTCCTGCCCGGCCCGACACACGTGACAGCGTTGTGCCGCCGCATGCTCCATCAGCCAATCACGATCCTTTCATCACGACGCGCCTCGCGTGAACTCACACCCAAAGCGCTGAGGCTGCCCACCCATCGCCATGTCTACGCGTCAGAAGTCATTCTTTGATCAGGATCAAAAGGCAAAGGTACATTAATCAACACTATCTAAACTCTTTGCTCACAGTACCTGCTTACCTTATTGCCTCTCCCTCATAGCCATACAAGGGCCAATGGCATCGCCAGCCCAACCGTCTGCCTTTCCCCCACCACTATAATAATAATCACACGGCCCCTCCACCACGGCAGGTCGTGACGGGGCCGCCCATCATGCCGTCCACGCAAACGCGAACAAAGCTCAAGGCTTTTCAATTCATCGAGGGCGCGCCGACGACCGCTGGGACAGGCAAAGAGTGTGAGGCTGAGAAGGAGAATCAACCCACGGCTACGGTCAAGGCCAAATTAATAGAAACGCCAAAAACTTCGAGGATGACCAAGGAGGTAGAGACCATGGAAAAGACCCCCAAGCTGCCCACAGCCAAATCATGTCCGCCTCCGTCAACACCAGCCACTACGAGATTACCGCTGGCGGATCTAGTAGGCAACATTGACGACTCAGCCAGACATGCGCCAAAGCCTATTGCTTCTCCAGAGGAACAACTGATATGGAGAGGGTCGCAAACCGTCAACACGCCTATGCCGCGCAAGAACAAGAAACGCGCGCGGAGTTCTTCGCCTGTACCGCCCCAGTCGCAAGACGATTCTCGGTTCGACCCCAACAGGACGGAACTCACCACACCTCAAGCAGATCCTGCCATGGAACTCTGGACTCGCTACACAGGCAAAAATGGAACACCAAGCGCCAACAAGGGCGTCGCTTTTGCGCATCTCATCAATGAGTCTTCTCCACGCTCCGCCGCTGCTGCTGGAAGCATCAGTGGCCTTCGTCGATGGGCTAGCTGTGGACATGAATTCCCTGCATCACATAGGAAGCGAAGAAGAACACAAGGCGTATTCCAGGCCCAAGAGGAATCAACGGAAGACGTTTTCACGCATGTGCCAAGTTCTGATAGCATGATGCAGGGCCAGTCCACCAAACCCAACATAGCCAGTATGGTGCAACGGATGAGGGAATGCGTCTCAAAATCACAATCACACATGTCGACGCAGCCTCCATCGAGTTCTTCCCCAGTTTTGGGGGGCATGGATCGCCAAGTGTCGTCATCTGGCTCGCCTCTGCAACGCCGTCCTTCCCATCTAGACCAAGACGAAGACCTGGAGCAAGAAGCTTCCGAAACGCTTCGAGTCGAAGAAGATCTTGTGTGTGAGGATGCGTACATGGATCAGGAGCCACAGGACGAGGCGCCATTGCAAGACCAGCCAGCACACCAGTGTTCGATTTCGTCGGACGACTTTGGTGATGATGTTTTCGACGCCGACATGGTCGAAGCGCTTGATATTACACCTCCAACTGCTGAGTCTGCAGCACAGCCGACTGGTATTGTCACCACACCTGCCGAGCCTGCGAGACCACAGTCACAGCCACGGGCGCTGTCACAGCCACAGGCTCAATCACAATCTCATTGGCCGCCAGCCGTTATAGCTGCTCCACAAGCGACTGGCAGTGATGATGATGAATTCGGCATGGATGACGAGGAAGAATTCGCTGCTGATCTCGAGCATGTGGCGTCATTATTTGACACCAGATCTGTTGAGGAATCGAACGACCCCAGGACCGCAGATGATGCAGGAGAAGACATCACGGCAGGAGATGTAGCGCCCATTATCAATCTTGTTGACGATGAGGACGAGGATGAGTTCGGCGGAGACATTGATGTTGATGAGTTCGCTGCTGCAGAGGTGGCAGCCACGCAAGCGCCAGTGAACACGGTAAGTAGGAAACACATCCCCTCTCCGACAACCTGTGCTAAATCTCGTAGAGCCAAGGGCCCACTAGGGCGATCCAGCGTTACCTCATCAAACGAGTCGATGAAGGTACATACACTACAGAGCGAGGCCATCAGATGCCCGAGAAGGTAAGCATAGCAGTCAAATCCGTATGATCATGTTGCTGATAAAATGTAGGTACTCCTGGTCGAAGAGGAGAAGACGAAACTCTTCAAGGCCATTACACTCCGCCAAGCCTGGTTCGACACGCCTTGTACTACTGGCTCGTTTGTCCATGTCATTGGAGAGTTTTCATCTACTGGACAGTGTTGCATCGATGACCATCACAACATGCTAATTCTACATCCTGACCATCTTATTTCGGCAACCGTCGTGGCAGACTCCTTCGGCTGCTTACGACGAGCGGTCCTACAGGACCGGATCAAGGCGACAAGTACGGCGAACGCCCCGATGTTGTACGGTACGCTGCTCCACGAATTGTTTCAAGAAGCTTTGAAAGCGAACAAGTGGGACTCTGCTTTCCTGCTTGAGAGAATTGAAAAAATCTTACCGAGCAAGTTCGAGACTATTCTCGAGATCAATTCGACACGCGAAGAAGTCCAGGAGCATTTGAGCAGCAAGCTTCCCGAAATGCAGGCCTGGGCTGATATCTTCGTTCGCTCTCAGCCTCGAGACGATGCTGTCGTTCGAGAGCGAAATGGTCGCCAGTCAATCATGAGCGTGAACAAACTGCTTGATGTGGAAGAGCACGTATGGTCTCCCATGTACGGCCTCAAAGGGAACATTGACGCTACCGTACAGGTTATCATGCGCGATGATCAGGGTGAGCGAACGTTGACGGTCCCCTTTGAGGTCAAGACGGGAAAGAATACTTCCAATGCTGCACACGTCGCGCAGACTGCCTTGTACAATCTATTATTGTCAAACCGATACGGTAAGCCATTTCGTCCATTGTATGCTATAATTACTGATCGAATCAGACGTCGATGTTGCTTACGGGATCCTATACTATCTGGAATCCTCCGACACGAGCCGTATTCCTGCTATCCGCAACGACATTATTCATATGATCATCAAGCGCAACGAACTGGCCTGCTATGTCCGCGATCGGATCGATCTACCGCCGATGCTAAAGGAAGACTTCAAGTGCCAGAAATGCTATGCACAAGAACCATGTTTTTTGTATAACAAACTGGTCGAGGATGGTGATGGTGAAGTACTCAACAAGAAGGCCAAAGAGCGATATGACGAGCTTGTCAAACCACTCAAGCCATCTGATCAAGACTTTATGAAGAAGTGGGACGCACTCTTGACTAAAGAAGAGTCTGACATGATGAAATTCAGGCGCGAGCTCTGGACCATGCTGAGCGAAGAGCGTGAGAAACTAGGTCGTTGTTTCTCGAAGGTGGTACTGGAACCTGGATCCGGGCATGAGGAGATGAACGGTCAGAAGATCAATCGCTACCACTATACGTTTATCAAGCAACAAGCGAAGCCAGGCTTCTCATTTACAGAGTCTCAACTTATCGTCGGCGAGCCTGTTGTTGTATCAGATGAGCAAGGTCACTTTGCTCTAGCAAATGGCTACGTAACGAACGTCAAGAAGCGCCGCATTACCGTTGCCGTGGACAGACGATTGCACAACTCACGGACCAAACTGCCAGGATTCGAATCGCAGACCAACCAAACCTTCACTGGCATCATGGAGGTTGGCAAAGAGGGTGACATGGTTGCAGAGTGCGACGAGAACGAGGAACCAGTCTTGTACCGATTGGATAAAGACGAGTTCAGTAACGGAATGGCTGCCGCTCGCAACAACCTCATACAAATCATGGATAACAGTGTTTACAAAGCTCACGACTTACGAGCTCTGATAATAGATGGTCGTGCGCCAGCCTTCAAGCCTGTCACTGCAGAAATGGAACCGCCCCAAGGCTCGCAAATGTCTATGAACACGGATCAGAAAGCCGCAATCGCTAAAGTCATGTCTGCAAAGGATTATGCCCTTGTGCTTGGCATGCCGGGAACCGGGAAGACAACGACGATTGCTCACATTATACGAACGCTTGTGGCCAAGGGGAAGAGTGTCTTACTCACGTCGTACACGCATACCGCCGTCGACAACATTTTACTCAAGATTAGAGACGACAAGATTGGCACACTACGACTCGGTGCCTCCGCGAAGGTACATCCCGAAGTACGAGAGTTTGCAATCCTGGCTGCAGAACCGAAGGGTAGTGTAGAGGAGCTCGAGCGCTCATGGATGGAGCCTCCTGTGGTGGCCACAACATGTCTGACCATTAACCACCCCTTGTTCAGTCGCCGCGTCTTTGATTACTGTATTGTTGACGAAGCCTCCCAAATTACCCTGCCAGTCTGTCTAGGTCCGATCCGTATGGCCCAGAAGTTCATCTTGGTGGGGGACCACTACCAGCTTCCACCACTTGTTCAAAACAAGGAAGCCATGGAGGGCGGCCTCGACATATCACTGTTCAAGTTGCTCTGTGAAGCACATCCGGAAGCAGTTGTCAGCCTGGAGCACCAGTACCGCATGTCTGCCGACGTCATGCTGCTGTCCAACACATTCATCTATTCTGGAAGACTGAAATGCGGCACACCAAGCGTCGCCTCACGAAAACTCTCACTCCCAAAATCCCAAGGTCTGCTTGCCTACCACCATAAGCCCAACCAATCTCGCTCCTGCCCCTCGAGACCGTGCACCGGACCAGAGTCGCCGGATTGCTGGCTGTCACGTTCGATATCCCCTGATGCACCAGTGGTGTTTATCAACACAGACCTCATCTCTACGAACCTCGATGTCGTTTCAGGACCGCGCATCACAAACACATTCGAAGTCCAACTCGTCACCCAACTCACACTCTGTCTCCTCAGTCTCGGTGTGTCCGCCAACGAAATCGGCATCATCGCCTTCTACCGCTCGCAACTCGCCCTCCTGCGCCAAAGTCTTGCATCCGCCCACACACAAACACAGTCCTCTGAACTCGGCATCTCAGCCGGATCCGCAGGCGTAGAGCTCCATACTGCAGACAAGTTCCAAGGTCGAGACAAAGAAGTCGTGCTCGTCTCCTGCGTCCGCAGCAACGAGGACGGTGTAGTCGGCGAGTTGCTCAAAGACCGACGACGCATCAACGTCGCCCTCACGCGAGCGCGCTCCAAACTCATCCTTCTCGGAAGTGAAAAGACGCTGTCCAGCAACGAGTTGCTCGGCAACATGATCGCCCTCTGCCGTGCGAAGAACTGGATCCTCAATCTCCAACCCGACATGGTAGACGCCCACTCCTTTGACGACATCAACAACACCAACAGCAACATCACGCAAACTGGTAAGCCGGCCTCGCGCCCCTTGCACTCCCCCCGTCTTGCGCCCAAACCCAACACGGAACCGCAATCCAGTCCCTCACCTAGTCCCACCAAGAAACGCAACCCGCTCTCCGACATCTCCACCGCCCCTGGTGCCGCTAATGCCCATCCCCCGCCACTGCGCAAACATCGCATGCCCGGGAAATCTATAGCCAGTATCCTAGAGGATAAGGGCATGGGCATGGCGGGCTCAGCGAGGAAGAAGCCGGGGAGAGTGTGTACGGCGGGGAAGAGGGGAGTGCTGGACGGACGGCCCGTGTTAAGTGATGTTTGGAGGGGGGCGGTTTGATGGCTTGGGTTTTGGAGTGTTACTTGGGGGATTGGGGATTGTATGTCAATATGGAGTTTTTAGGATATCAGTCATGTCAAGAGGGTTCTGAGGTTTGCAATAGTAGGGTAGTGTAGTGTGGGATAGCGTAGGATAGGATAGGATAGGTTACAATACGACACGACACGCTATATACCATCATAAAGCCCGTATCCCATGTCTAGTCCTCACAAGACATGAACGGATAACAGCAATTCAATTTAATTCAGACCTAATGATAACCAGCTGGTGATAGTCATTTTGTCTATTGTCCTCACCCCTCACTAATAATGTTCTTGTTCTCTCAGAGGACTTGGTGTATACAGCGTACTACATACTACAGACTCCATACTCTTCATAGTACCTTACGCACCACTCCACACTCAACACTCCATACTACATATAGTACCTCGCCTACCACTTTACCCCCCTTTTCCTCCTTCCTTCCCTCCATACACCACACACACACACACACACACACACACACACAAAACAGACTGAGCGATGCCTTGGTGCCTGAAGCAATCTCCGATTCGCCGGGCTACACAGAATGAAGTATGATTGTTGGATGCTATGAGAAGGTAGTTAGAGAGAGGGGTGAGCGATATCACGTATTTCGTCAGAGTAGGGGGGGGATCAAACATGATATTGACACGACACTTGGATCTGGCAAAGTCTCATTGCTTTCATACTTCAAAAACGATACAATGGAAGAGTAAACGCGGGGCATAGTTGAACGGAACTGTGAATCCAAGGCTGGCTGGTATAAAGCAAACTACATAATATATGTAGCCGAACCTTCCTTCCCAGCACAACGACAACGACCACCACCACCACCACCACTGAGCTCAATACTCAAAGTCATCATCCGCAGCTGGTCCCTTGGTCTTACTCACGCTCTCCTGCCTCTGATACATTTCCGCAATCATCCGCGCCGTACTCGCCTCAGCCGGCTTCTTATCCTCCCTCTCCTTGATGAAGCGGGGAAACCTCAGACTGATGCCCTTGCCCCCGCCCGCAACCTCGTCGGCCGCGGCGCGGTAGCGGGGCGAGAGGGTGAGATCGGCCGTCTTGACCTCCCAGACATAGCGGGGCTCGAACCAGACGTCGGGCTGGTCCTTGTTGCCCGAGGAATGTGTGTAAAAGGGTTTGGGACGGTCAATGACAATGGCGGAGAGGGTCTTGTGCAGGGATTCGAGTATGGCTTCGGAGAAGCCGGTGCCGATGTTGCATACCGTTTCGTACTTTTCCGTGCTTGGGTTGTAGCAGGCAAGCAGGAAGGCGCCGTACCAGCTTGTGCGTTTGCCGCGGCCGTAGTAGGCGCCTAGGACGACGAGGTCGAGTGAGTCGCCTACGCCAGCGAGGTAGTCCTTCTTCACCTTGAGCCAGTTTTGCGAACGCTTCGAGGGCTCGTAGTAGGATTCCGGGCCGTCGAGCATCTTCACCATGAGGCCTTCGCAGCCGGACTTGACAGAGTCTTCAAGCAGGATCTGGATCTCGTCGAGTTCGTTGGTGTTGCCGAATTTGGCAAAGGCGAATTCGCCTTCGACTTCGGTGAAGGCTTCGCGGAGATGCTCCCGGCGCTCGCGGAATGATTTGGTGACCAGGGCCTCGCCATTCAGATAGAGTATGTCAAAGGCAAAGACGCAGACCTTGACCTTGACATCTTCGACCTTGACATCCTTCCTCTTCCGCGTCATTAGCTGCTGGAAGGGCAGGACTTTCTTCTCTTCCATATCCCACGCAACAGTCTCGCAGTCCAGAACAAAGCTTTTGGTTCCCTCCTTGACCCACGAAGGTAGTTTGGCCAGGATGTCTGGGTACTTTTTCGACAGGTCCTCCGAATTACGAGAGAAAATGTTGGAAACGCCACGATCACTCTTACCAGCAGAGGGCGCAGCGGTTGCAAGCTTCATGTTGGCATCGTGAGAGACAAAGTGTATCTGCGCACGCTCTCCGTCGTACTTGTATTCACAAGTGAAGTCTTTGCCTTCGAAACGATCCAATACTTCGGTGATGGATTTGGTTGGCTTGGCCAACATGGGCTTGAGGGGCACACCAGGTTGTAATCTGCAGTTTTCGCGCAAGTTCATGATGCCGTGCTCAAGCATAGCTGGGATGATGACTTCGTAACTTGGAAGCTCACTACAATAGGGTTAGCACAGGCGCAGTACGACTGCGAAACTTCATCTTACCTGTAGACTGTCTTCAATATGGCCTCAGCTTCTGCCAGATCAGATGTTGATGGCGTCTTGCCCTTTTGAGACATTTCGTGGAAGATCATGGCCTGGGCCACTGCGACAACTACTGTCCGCTCCGCAAGACCAAGTCGCAGCTTGCCCTCGAGTGTTCGTACAATAAATTTTGCTTCACTCGCGCCACCCTTGTCTTTCTCAATGTCAACCGCCTTTCCAGCAGTTTCAGCATCAGCAGCAGAGAGTAGCTTCTTGATGCCATCCACCTTCCGTCCTTGTGCTCCCTGGCCTTCGGTAGTGGCAATGGCCATCAAGCCCTTACGTACGCCCTCCACAGTCAAAGCCTTAGGTTTGAACATGGTTGGCTGTTTCGATCGGCTCATCGCTGCCACTAGACCAAGATCTCCAATCTCATTCTGGTCCGCCTTGATCTGTTGTAGACTTCGTCCAGTACTCCCAGACACCGCCTTCATGATCAGTGACTCGCCAATACCAAGTTCTATGCCAGCATAATCGGCAGCAAGCTTGTTCACCATGAGCATAACTGTGGGCAGCATGTCGGAAGGTGTCAGCCGTAACACCTGTCGCAAGAACAGCGAGCAGTGTGCCAGAATCTCCAGTCTTTTGGTCGTCATCTCGATCTTCGAAAACGTCGTACAAAGCGCTGCGTAGGGTACTGGCTCGCCAGGTTTCCAATCAGGGTATGGATCTTGTGTCTTGGCTGAAGACAGCGTTGACTGGACCTTCTTTCGAGCCTTCTCCTTGACTTCAGGCTCCTCCTCTGAACTCAGGACTTCGTCTTCTTCCTTGTTGGTCGAGTCTTCCTCTTCCTCCACTACTGGCTCAGGAGTCTTGCTTGTCTTCTTTCGCTTGTTGCTGGCAGCCTTTGCAGGAGTAACGACTTCTTCGTCCTCATCCTCGGGCTCCTCAGCCTTGACCTTGGCAGCAGCCTTCTTTGAATTTACTGGCGATTTCTCAGTCTTCTTAGGCGATGCTTTGGGACTCTTCGGCTTCTCCTTGACCTCGGTTGGCTTCCTCCGCTGACGCTTCGTCGGTGGCTCATCTTCCGAGTCTTGTTCTTCTTCCTCGTTGATTTGTCTCTTCTTGCCAGATTTCGATGGTGGACTGTCAACCTCCATCGCATCGTCTCCTAGACCATCCTTGACTTCCTTCTTAGCCTTCACTGTGACCTCAGCGTCCGATTCAGCATCGCCACTCTGCTCAGCCTTCACTTCTGCTGGCGAGGACTCGACTTCTTCTTCTTTTTCTTTTGTTGCAGTATTCTTCTTCGCGGTTTTTGGCTTCGTCGAAAATGACAGTTTCGATTGCTGCTTCACGGCTTGGCCATTCGGTTTTCCGAAGAAGTTACTGCGCAATCAGTCAGCACACCAAGCCTCCTATCTTCTTGTACAGGTCCAATGGTGTCGTCCCACCCCAATGTAGTCTGAGAAGACTTTACATACCCAAGAGTAGCCTGTTTGGGCGCCATGACTGCAGATCCAGAACAGTGATATGCGCTCTGAAAATTCAAGTAACGGCGAGAAGCGACTACAGCGGATGTAGGAAGAAGTCGAATTGACAGTACATGAGCGAAGAGCAAACGGGGCTTTATGAGATTATGACAAGAGGTATTGAAGCGGACGGGCATACTCTGACTGGGGGGTCGTTTTGGGAACACAGCGGTAGGCAACTTTCAGGCTGCCTCGAGCGCGACGCGCCTGCCTCGCGTTCGCGAAAGTGTGACCGGCCCGTGCTGATGTCATTAAGCCGACATGGATTAGCTTCCGGCGCAGCAAGCATCATCATCATTGTACACCATACTCGAAGGCAGACATCTCATCTCGAGAATCTTTGCGAAGAAACTACCATTTCCGATTGAAAGAGCGGAACTCACATTCGAACTGGCGGGCTTCTTTTGGAAACGCTCTTCCTCGCCGCCTCCCCTTCCAGCACCTCCGCCACCATCCACCATGTCGCAACCCTCTCCACAGCCTCAGCTCACGCCACAATTCTGCTTCAATGAGGTTGCGCTGAGAGGTACGACTCTCTTCTACAAATGCTATCAGCTCACTAACTAATACAAGCCGGATGAACAGACTTCCTTCGTATATCGCGCGGTGCCATTGACGACTCGATAACACAGAACCTCAATGCTCTCCTCACACCTGCACAGCGAGGATTCGATCCTTCGTCTACGTCGATGCGACAGTTGAATACGCCGGACCATGGCAGGTTAATACCGCCAGAGACATGTGGCCAGTTCAAGGAGAAAGTTCTGTTCCCAAGCTGGGCTGTACGGTCAGATGTACTAGATTATTGTGCGGGCGTTGCGACATCGCCGGATCCTGATGATCCAGGCAGTGTGCTGAGGCAGATTGAGGATGCGAAGGCGAGGGAGCGGAAAATCGACGAGAGATTAGATCCCTATTCGGGCCGCTACTTTCCTCAAGAGGCGAGGACGGAGAGTCTGGCTATGTTGATGCGGAATGAGAGGGCGGTGGAGAAGATTATTCGGATGAGGACGTGGAGTGTATTGGGGGAACGATGTGGGATTTACAACGAGACTGCAGAGGAAGCATTTGATAAATGGAGGGCGACGCAAAAGCGATGAGATGAATGCTGCTGATGGCTATGTGGCATGTGGCATGACATCGCATCACAGAGAGATTGAAGACGCCTCGGACAGTATCATGTATAGCATAGAGCGACGGTGTTTTGTATATGCAGATGTTCTTCTCCACTCCAAGAGCGAGTGAACCCCAATAACGCACACACGATCGTCTCCCATTTCACGCGTGTGCTCTATTAGAGCAAAAGACGGACACCACAACAACAGCAGGCAACAGGCATGGTTAACAGTGCATGCGAGACCGAGGCGACGATGATGATGCTGTAGGAGTAAGAAGAGTCCTCGCACCGCGGCGCGACACCTCTCGTCTGCCTCACGGAAAAAAACCACCACGACGATTTGTCACAAAACCTCACCAAAAGCGCCAGGCACAGTAGGAAGCCCGCTGCACCTCACACCTCGGTCCTGCAACCGCAATCGCATCTCTCAAAGCAACACCTCCAAGACGAAGAAAATCATGTCCCAACCATCCCACAACTCCAATCCATCTTTTCACGGACAATTACAATTGGTAGGAAGACGGTTGGGTCGGTAAAGTTTACTCTACGGGGCCGGGAACGGAGGACTATCCACAGAGAAAAAGGTTGGGATAGCCCTCAGCATGCCGCTTGCGCGGAGCCACGATTTTTTACAAAGGTATGTAGATTACCTGCTGATGATGGCCGGGCGAGGGAGGGGGACGGGGGACGGCGGGTTTATATAGGTAGGTTGGCGGGGGGGCTAGGGCTGGCGGGGTGGTGCGTGCGTTGGGGATTAGGTAAGCGAGGCGGAGGTTGGTTGATTTTTTTTCCTCCCTTGGGGCGTGCGCGGTGGGGCGGCCCACAGGCTGGGATTGGGAGAAAAGTGGGGGACTTTGGTAGGAGTAGAGTAGGGCCATTGTGTGCCTAGAGATATGAGTCGCATTTGTGCATGTCTCCTTTTGTATCATTATGCACTTCGTCTGAGAGTATGACTCTTGACGTCGCATCAGAGAGACAAGGTAGACAGACTGGCACAGTTCACAACATCATCACGTTGAAGCAGACAGTCTTAGTGTGAACTTGGTACATGCAATTAAGCTAGACTAAGCTCACATCCGTTCATGAGGATTCCGTAAGATCGTTTCACCAGGACAGACTGTCTCTCAACTGCCTACCCCGACATAACCCAGCAGACGTGACCGCCCATTCTCTAGTACAGGCGCTTGGGAGGGCTCATGGTGGCCTTGATGGTCAATGAGCCGACGTTTTGCCATCCCTTCTTCAGCAGGGAGACGAGGTAGTTGATGGCCAACATGATGTTTCCAATCAACTCATCCTCAGTCATGCCAACGTTTCCAACAGCGACACCCATGCAGAGCACCTTCTTCAGCTGGAACTTGATGGTCGACTTGACCTCGTTCATCTTGTTGGCAAGGTCTTCGGCGTGTGACACGGGGGTGGGGAACTTTCCGGCCTTGGATAGACCAGGTCCGAGGAGACGAGGAATCTGCTTGATGAGGGCATCGGAGGCCACAAAAGCATCGTACTTGCGCGCGAGCTTCTTGATGAGCTTCTTGTTCTTGTTGAGCTTCTTCAAGTCGTCAGTGCTCATGGCGTCGACACCGTGGTGCTTGGCACGATCGATATCGTGCTGGTCACCGAGAACGCAGATGGCCATGCCTGTCGTCTGTCAGCCTTTGCGCTTTCCTTGCTTGTGCATCCGTATTGACTTACGAGGACGGGGGATGGTGGGCAGCTTGACGGTTCCAGAGAAACGCTTGTCACGCTGAGGGTCGTAGTTCTTGAGGCCGATCTGGAGCTCGACCGTCTCGAGGAAGTTCCTCTTCTTCGTCTCATTGGAGTACTCGAGGAGCTGTTGCACGTTCGTACGAACGCCTGCAACAGAGATTTTCGACATGTTGACTATGTGTCTCCCAGAGGATATTCGATTCCTTTGGTGGCTCTGGTGCGGTGGTGGTTGGAGAAAAGCGAGTCCAGTGGCGTGGCGGGCGAATTTGGTGTGGGCAAAAGATCGCGCTAACGAATCTCGTGCTAGGCCACTTTGGTGCGACTCTCCTCTTCCACGGCCAGTCCTGCCTCATCAGGTACAAGGCTGAGATCTTACTTGTAACATTGAAACACATGAGGACTCACTAGGTTTTGCTATGGCAGCTTTGGAATAGTAGACCGCAGGCTTTGAATTTTAGACTCTTCATTCCTGGTAACAGCTTCCGTCTTGCGTCTAATGCTCAGCTTTTCTTGCAACGTCACGGAAATACTTTCAAAACATGACCAGTTTCCACAAATGAAGACTCAATTCAGTAATCAGGTAAAGAATGCCCACATATGCAGTTTAGAAAAGGGCAATCAATGCTCCACAATCGCTTTTTCCCGTCCAAGTCCTCCAGTGGCTCCAAAGAGCCCTACGCCATGCAATGCCCAAAACTCCATGCCATGATCATCGCCCCGTGAGTAAATGAGATGCATATAGAAAGTGCCAACAGTCGATACAGACTGTCACTACGGGGTATCGCATCAAGAATCAGAAACGCCATGTTCAATCCGTTGTCTTGAATCAGACCAAATCGCAAGGGGCATCATCTCGGGAGACTGCCCACGGAAGTCGTCGCGCCAGAAGGAGAACACCGAAGCCCATAATATACAGAATGGCATGTGGCGAGTTCCAAAAAGGTCGATGAGACTCTAGCGAGGTTGTTGGTTTTGAAGAGGAAAGCCGTATAAGGTAGCAATCTCAATGCATGAGTTGCTGGTTGTTTGTGGGGTCGACGACATTGTCAGAAAGGTTAATGAGTAGCTGGGCAAGACAGCGCTTGGTGGCCGCATCGTCTCGTAGGACCGAAGAGAAGGTGGCATCGCGGAGAGGCTCTGGCAGACATTGACGAAGGGCCTCGCGGGCGCGAGCGTTGTCCGATAGGCTAGTGGAGTCAGCATGTATTCCTCTGTCAAAATCTAAATTGGACATACCGAAGAAAGCATCGCACAACATGCTTGAGAAGACGAACAGTCTGTTGTTCAACAAGTTGATTTACCATGTTACTGAGAACAGTACCAACGGCATAGAATCGTTCGTAGGTCTGACAGATGTAGGCAAGGCCGATATCATCGAGAAGTATCTTTTGTACGATGAAGATGGCAACGGTCTTACTGAGCTCAGATCCAGTCTCCATGATACGAAGGCACAGCGGAATAATCTCCGTTGTCAAGAGGAAGTTGATGACCTCGGAAGAATCATTCTTGACCAGAGCGCCAATAACACCAAGCGACGTGAGGCGGAGATACTCAAACGGCCGCGACTTTGAAGTCGTGTTGAGGAACGGATACAAGAAGAGAGGAATGTGTGCTTCGGCTACGTTAGTCATCATTCTCCACCACATGATGAGCTTGACTTACCACTCAGGAACAAGCCGCGGGTCTCAGTGTGCGAAGCGACACACTGTAGGAGCGCTAAAGCGTTACATACGCGATTCGAAGCGGCCGCGGTTAGTTGAGACGGGTTCAGTAACGGATAGACGGAGATGATTTCCTGGAGGAGGGAGGCCATGACACCTGCAAGCCGTTAGTAGAGATCACATGTCGCATACGCTCTGCCTACCAAATGAATGCCACAAGATCAACGCCAGCTCAGGTACTTGCTCGCGCTTCTTGCTCAATTCCAAGAGAGCCGCCTCACGGGTGTTTGGCTTCATGAGTTGGGCGATCCATTCGAGGACGCGGCGATTCTCCTCTGTCATACCGATGTCTGCTGACTGCGCGTCGTTTGCCGGGCCCCGGGGGACGATGTTGTTTCCTGGAATGCTCGTGCCATTGTTGCCCGCGATGCGATTGTAGTGTTGTTGTTGAGCGGCTGCGGCAGCCGCGGCGGCAGCTTGAGCCTGGGCCTGGGCTTGCGCTTGCGCTTGAAGTTGACCGTGCTGGGCTACATGGTGGTGAGGCTGCTGGTGGTGGCCCTGTTGCTGCCACTCGCCCGGATATTGCTGCTGATGTGTGAAGATATGTTGCATTGGCCGCGATTTGTCCCTTGATCGTTGGGTATTTGGATGGGGATTCTGGAGGAATCGCGATTGAGCGACGGGTTTATGTATTGACAGGTTGTTGATTAGCAGTGCGCTAGCGGCTTCGATTGCGTGGTAGATAGTTGGCGTGTGGTGAGTGCGTTGGAGGAGAGGATGAGCGCGAGTCGCAGCGACACCCCACTGGTGAGCGCGCCTTGGCGTTGCGGGAGCTCGAGCTTCTACCCAACTAGCGGAGACCCACGCCGCCTCAGGCCCCAAGTGAATGCCAGGCAGCACCGGGGTAATAGCGAGTGTTTGCACAATAGTACGGTTGGTTTCTCTCACCTTTCTCACTGTCACAGGCGGTGAGGTGAGCCAATATATTACAAATCTATTAGTGAGGCCCATCCATGTACTCAATGTGAAGCGCTTTCAGCTATCTGCCACACTGCTCTCGATCTGGTAGCTCAGACAACCAGAGTAATATGCTCGAACCATGAAGAATTGGCTGTCGTAAGATATGGGGTAATATTATGATGAGATCTCCTCAAAAAAAAAAAGTGGAGGAGGGGCAGCAGCTCACCCAACGTTGACAATGAAAAAATGAAAAGCAAGTTGTCTTGTCGCTTGTCAGATACACGATGGTTGGTAGTATGGTCTGACCGACTCATTTACATCTAGACAATAGTAGGGAAGAATGAACAAATGAGATCCTTTCCTACTCAAAGCCAATGCTCTCTTGATTGTAACAGTTCCTCTCTCCCAGAAATTAATAGACAAGCCTCCCAATGTACTAGGCTTGTTTTACAGGTCTCACGACGATGAAGAAAATGCCTTTGAACGCCGTGCCCAGACAATCACAATCAGAGGTTGAGTTCTGACAGGATCGTCTGAGCCATGTTTTTGTACTGCCACGTTCCACCATCCACCTTCTTAAATTGGATACCATGCAATGTCAACAGAGGAACCTTGACAATTAGTATCTCGAATATGAGGCTCATGCTCGCGCCCATGTCGTGTTGCACGTGTGTGGAGGTTTCTCCTGCTGGGACAGGTCGACGCGGTGCTCGTTCCTCTCTCTCCTCGCTTGCGTCCGACTCGTCGGTATTAGTATAGCTGCGATCGGCGCCTGAAGGTCGGGATCGTGACTTTGGTGTGTGAGGAACTCGATTCTCATCCCTGAATGCATCTCGGTCTTTATCACCACCCATGAGGCCACCAAAGCTGATCCGTCGTCTATGATTTCCACCAGGTGGAGACGCAGGCGAGTCTAGCATGTTCTTCATGTCAATACTTGGCGAGTGTCGACATCTGAAACCTCCTTTGATCTCGCTCCATTCGACACCGAGTTGATCGAGCACTCGAATAAGGTCGTCTTGGATATATGACAGTGGTCTGGTGCTCGTCGTAGAGACACTGAACAAACCCTTGAGAAAGACGGGCTTTACAGCGTCCGGACTTCGGCTGGCTTCTACCTGGGCTTCCGCTAGTTCCGCGTCCGTCTCTTCTGGCACGCCTGCCTCTTTGGCTTGTTCTCTCCGTGCCCTGCGAGCCTGTATGCTTTCCCTTCTTGCATGGCCTAGTGATTTGGCACGAGACGTCTGCGCAGGCCGTTGACTAGCTGAGAAGTCTTCGGAGGCCGTGTCGTCAATCGGGCGAGCTCTATGTCCGCTGAGATCTGATCTATCTGAGCCACTGGTGGGTGGAGGGTTACCTGGATCTTCGGACGAACGTCCTCGACGACTTAAACGCCTTCGGAGGTCAGCTGAATTGACACTGGTCGACCGACCAAGGGCTTTGAACTTCCGAGTGGCTACGTTGCCAGTACTTGGCGGAGAGAGGAGATCTGGCTGGTTGGTCGCGCTACCTGATTGGAGATGCGATGTTGAGCCGTTATCTCGTTCTCGTGGTTTTCGAATGCTGAAACTCTTCCTTGGAACATTGCTTGGCGTATTGGCGACTTCAGATGGACCTGAAATGGCAACAGCCGGTGTGGGTGGCGGCGGTGCCTCTGGTCGGTCTCTGTCATGGCTGCGATACTTTCTAGTACTGAATCGTCTTAGTAGACCTACGGCTCCACCTTCTTTCTTCGCCTGTTCGATAGGAGGAGGTAGAATTGCTGGTGACACACCGCCCGGAGGGTTGTTCAAGTCGACTCGTTTCAATCCTTCTGTGACTTCATCTTCACCATGCGTCCTGGCTCTCGGTCGTGATCGGCCGCCAGTAGGTTTCTCGCCTGCCATTTCGTACGCAGCACTGTTGGTGTAGGCGGCTGGCGGTGCTGGAAGGTCAGGCATCTTCAGAGGTTTCTCACCTGGGCTTTGTGGCATAGCGACTGCACCAGGATTCGCCTCCTGTCTCTCGCGGTCTCTCTTTTCTTTGACAAGAAAGTAGACTGATAGAAGAGGACTGTATGCGTTTACAGGGTCTAATCCCCGCTGGATATCTTCCGAAGAAGAGGCGGTCAGTTGCTCCCGACTAGAGATTGAGTTGCGTCGTTTGTAGAAATCGAACATGCCTCTCTTCTTTTCAGCTTCAGGTGTTTGAGCATTTGTCCTGCGAGCTGCCATGCGGACAGCGCGTTGATACTCATCAGACTGAATCACATTGGTCAATTGGCTGGTGATGTACTCGGCCGTTCCAAAGTCGAAGCCGGTCATTCTGTCGATAATCTCCTTTTCCAGCGGCAGTTGGAGGGGTTCACGATGTGGCAGATAGTTTTCGGGAGGACTGTTGAAGCCCTTGGTCAGCCAAGGGTGGCTCATGATCTCAGTAAGCGTCAACCGTTGAGTGGGATCCGTCTGAAGCATTCTATGTATCAGATTTCGGCATTCTATAGAGTTGTCAGCATGCGTCTGAGCGACAGAGGCGGGGCATAACTTACCCGCAGACAACCAGGGAGGGTATTCCACATGTCCCTTTTTTATCTTGGCATGAAGCTGTGGCATGCTCTGATCATCGAATGGTACCTTACCGCACACCAACACGTAGAGAACGATGCCAAAACTCCAGACGTCTACCTCCGGGCCCGTGTATTGTTTGGCCTGTAGGAGCTCAGGGGCGGCAAAGTACAGACTTCCACAGAACGTCTTTAATTGGTTTCGGGGTGAAAACAAATTGCTCAAGCCAAAATCAATGATTTTTATGTCGCCAGTCTTGCTGATCAAGATGTTCTCGATCTTCAGATCCCGATGCACGATGCTGTTGCGGTGGCAGTAGTCGAGAGCGCTCGCAATCTGGCGTGCGAATTTGCGAGCCTGCTTTTCCTTGAGGCGGCCATGCGAAATGATGTAGTCAAGCATCTGCCCTCCATTGACAAACTCGAAAAGCATGTACCAATGGTAGTTGGTGCGAACTACATCTCGCATGCCACAGATATATGGATGGTCCAGAAGACTGACAATGGCAGCCTCTCTGGCCGTGCGAACCTCTTTGGAATGGTCGGCTCGCTCGCGGTCAGCAGCGCTCTGATGCTGATCCTGGGATAGACGGGGCACGATCTTGACAGCAACCTATGACTGTCAGTAGAGGCCATGCAGAGGAGTGGTGGCGATGGAGATGGAGATGGCAGTAGTAGTAGTAGAAGCAGCAGTAGCAGCAGCGACAACAACAGGGCCTATGAGCGCAGATGTAACTGCCCCCCTCCATGGTCCAATCCAAAAACGACCGCCCGTATACATACCTGCTCTCCCGTCTCCTGGTGTTTGGCCAGCTTCACCTTCCCCATGCTGCCTGCGCCAATCGTCTTGCCGAGTGCCCATGTTCCCGTGCTCGGTGCGGTGATGGTAGTCCTCCGCTTGGTGTTGGCGGGCAATTGTCCCCTGCCATCGGCAGCTACTCCGTTGGAGGGCATTGCGGAGGTGGTGGATGCGTCAGACGCATACCGCGTGTGCCCTCTTCTGCCTGCGTCGTTGCGGGAGGGGTCTTCGCTGCGGCGGGCGTGCTGGTCCTGGGCGACGTTGCTCTGCTCGTAGTCTCGGCGGGCGACGTTGTTCAGGCCGGTTTGTGGATGGCGGCTCTGCGCATGGGGGCTGGGGCGGGTGGTGGTGCTCTGCGACCGGTGTGGGCGGTCGACTGACCTCCGCGAAGTGGATGAGGAGCGCACGACGGCGGGCGATGTTGGGGCAGCCGTCGCCATGGCTGTGCAGAGCGGCTACGGGGACGCGACGACGCAAGGAGCAGACGCGGGCCCAGCGAGGACAACTTGACGCACCGAGCGGCGTCGATGCAACCGAATCAAGGCGGGTGCTGGCGGTGCAGGTGGAGCGAACAGCGTCTCCTCTTGTGACGACTGGACGTTGGAAGCGCAATCTTAGGGGGGGGAGAGGGGATGCTCGACGGCTATCGTGTAGCTAGGGGCGGCGCCGCTGCACTGCTGGGGCGGGAAGGGGGGTTGCGATGGTCAAGATGTCGCCAAACTTGGCACGACGCAGCGTGTTGGGCCGTCAGCAACTCAGCAGTTGGCTCATATGCAGGTCCGCTGGGGGGCAGAGACGCAAGCAATGCGGTACAACAAGCAGATGGATGGGCAGGCAACGTCAGCGGCCGCATCAGTTACACACCGGCAGTGCCCTCTTGAGCTTTACCTGTGGTGGTGTCTTGGGGCCTGGCGGGCTGAGCAACACACGATAGCTAGCTAACTGAACTTGGGTACTTCCACGTCCACCAACGCCAAAGCTAGCCTGTCACCCCGTCCACCAATGTCGACAAAGGACAGGGCCCTTTTTTGCATTGGGCCGCATACGGCGGGGGTGAAGTTACGTCGTCCGCAATCATCAAGAAAGGATGCAGCAGAACAGCCTCTTTAACCAGGTCTGGTAGGCACACAATTGCAAGTACGAGCGCTGCGAGTTGGAAGCAGCTGTTGTCACAGGCCTTTCAGACGACAAATCCTGGCTGTGGAGCCTTAGGCCTAAAGCACAGAAACCAGGTTGTAGGAGTACTATGTTCTCCCATGTAGGTAGTTTGGTACTGGGTAGAGTACAGGTACACTCTACTCTAGCAAGCAGGACCAAAAATGACTCAACCGTGTCAGGGTCTGCCAACAAAACCCTAGCTGTGATGCCAGTCATCGACAACATGTGTAGGGATTGCCATGGCGTTGAACTATATGTACCTACATTCATCGGTCCCGCTCGACAAGTACACAGCTACATGCTAGAAGGAGTAGCCAGTCGCAACGTCAGGCCCAGCACGGCCTAATTTCATGTCTGCAAAAAAGGGAAAATTCCCTCGCCTCCTCACCCCTTTTGTTGAGTAACACGAACTGCGTTGTGCAATGGAGCAGCAGCTGTGAATTCAACCGAATCTTGCAAGTTGTAGCGCTTGACCGCCTTCTTCTTCATTTTTGTCTTCGTCTTCTTCGTCCACTCACTGCAACCGCATGCATCCATGCTACGCCGTGACAGTATCTGGGCTGACTAAGCTCAATCGGCCTACTCGTGACAAGTCATTCGTCAAGGCTTGCCCAGATGTGGCTAGACCGCTAGTGACTTCTTACTACTCGCCATCGGTCCCAGTCTATCTTCAAGCTCTCCAATCACCACGCAAACATCCCAACGTTCTTCTACACAGTACATACATACATACATACATACATACATACACTCTCTACATCGCCTTTCTACACAGCCATGGCCTACAAGCGGCCTCGTGGCACTTCCCCCTCCGACTCCCAGAAGCGCTTTCGCAGCGGTGGACATGCCAGTTATATCGCACTGGGCACCGAGCTGCCACCGGAAGACGGGGACGATGGCGCCTTCGTACCTGTGTGGAAGCAGACGGTGACAGATGAGCGTGGGCGAAGACGACTCCACGGCGCGTTCACGGGAGGCTTTAGTGCAGGGTAAGCTTCTGAGTCAATCTTACGATGAGCGCAAGACTTCTTGACTATGCTAAGATACTTTAATACAGTTGGATCTAAGGAAGGATGGACCCCCAAGACCTTTGTCTCCTCACGCGCAGATCGCAACAAGAACAAGCCTACGGGTCCCATACAGCGTGCCGAGGACTTCATGGACGAGGAAGATCTGGCTGCAGCTGCAGAATCGCGCCAATTGGAAACTGCTTCCAACTTCGCTGGAGTCGGGAGCACTCACCGCGAGATCGATGACGGGCTCTTTGGCCTCTTTGTGACTCAAGAAGAAACCATGGGCGTGAAGATTGCGCAGAAGATGGGCTGGCGGCGCGACCAAGGCATTGGTCGCAAGATTCGTCGCAATGCTCGCTCAGAAGACGACACTGCCACCACTATGGAACCTGCTCATATGTTTGCCCCAAAGGATGCAAGAATGATGACGGTTCCACGCGAAGATGTGCGCCGGAAGGGACTGGGTTATCTTTCCGAGGCTCGTTTGAACACGGTAGTAGAAAAAGAAACCGGCCATGCTCCCAAAATGGATCTGCACTATCTTGGAGTACCCAAGGCGTCACCCTCGATGGGAAAAATGGCAAGTAAGAAGTCGTCGTTTGGCGTCGGTGTCCTTAACGACACCGGCTCTGATGACGAGGACCCTTACGAGCTGGGACCCAAGATTACCTTGAACAAGACCATTGGCAAAGATAAAAAGGCCAAGAAGCCTAGCAAGTTTGCCAAAGCAGGAGCAGGCGACAAGGTGGTCTTCGTTCCCAAGAAGGAACCTGCTTCAAGAGCCCTAGTCTCGCTTGCTAAGCCATTGTCCGGTCAAACAAACGCATTAGAGGGTTTCCATGTTGCAACTTCTCTAACCGATGTCTCTAGCATACGAAAGTATCCTCCACCGAAGATACCAGCAGGATGGACATCGTTAAAGAGTGGCAAGACTAGTTCTGAAGTACACGCGTATCAATCTGTTGCCGATGCTGCAAAAGCCTCAACACTTGATGTAAAGGGTCGTTCTGCTCTCCTCGGGGAAACTCCTCTTCCAGGAAAGTCTATCTTCGACTTCATACCCAAGGAGGCTCGGGATCGGCTTGCAGCACTATCCGGCAAAGCTGACCTCCCGCAAGGCCTTGGGCAAGCAGCACCGGAAGGACACTTGCCGGCGAATAAAGCGCCGCCCAAGGATCTTTGGAGTCTTGTACCCGCACTCGACAAGTCTATTGCAGCTGGCGCTCTTGCTAAAGGTGCAACTGGTTGGATGCCATACGCAGAAGATGTGGAAAAACGTGCAAGATATGTTGGTTTTCTGGAGTTGCGCGCTGGATTGAAGGATGACTTGCCAGAAAGAGCAGAAGGGGTCTCTGTGTCTGATTGGGTGAAGGAGCTTCAGGAATTTGCACATGCCGCTCAAGTGTTCAAACCAACGACTGGCATCATGGCATCACGGTTCACATCGTCGACATCTACCCTTCAGCCTGGTCATAGTGCAGATGCACCAACCGAGGACCTTTTGCGCAAACCGACAACGAAGCCCGAAGACCCTGCAGAACAGGCGGCCAAGCTGGGCATGTATGGACCCATGACTCGCAGCAGCTTTGCGTTCCACCCCTCTCGGTTGTTGTGCAAGCGCTTTGATGTCAAGCCACCCCCAGATATGCCTCTCGACTTTGACGCCGGAGACGGCAAGACGAAATCGCAAACCGAGGAGGCAGTGTCCAAGGACGCCATGGGCAAGATGATGCATGAGATGCTCACAAAGGGGCCAGCGATGCAGCGTCCAGCTTGGATGGGACAGGCATCGGCACAGGCTACAGATGCAGCTGTCCCGCAGACGGTAGCGCATGCGACTGTGGATGTAGAGCAGAACGAGGCACTGGAAAAAGAGCGAGCGCCAGAGGATGTGTTCAAGGCCATATTTGGAGATGATGATGATGATGATGATGATTGAGCCATTGTGGAAGAAAGTTGTTGGTGCTGTTGCCAGCGACAGATGTGCCATGTAATACCAAAAGTTCTGGGGAGGTGTAGCATGTGTAGAAGTAGTGATGTTTGTTCAAGGCCGATCACTCTATGTGGGTGGGCACTGGAGGACGTTAGTGACATTACCGTCCTTATCCTACTCCAAGCCCGAAGTTGCAAGATATCTAGCCCCACATGTCGTACGACAGTCAAAACAGTTGCATAGAGCACTCTCGCCACAGGATGACGATTTTGTCGCGGGTAAAGTCGATCCAAGGTGTCGTCGCTCCCAAGAGTGCAAACGAGCTGTGGACAGGTTCAATGTTGGGACAGACGACGATGCAGCACGTGCTCCTTTGCAGCCTCAGGTGTCGCTCCCCAACCGCGTAAGTAGACCGCGTAAGACGGCCCATCAGTTCTCCAAGGAAGCACTTTGTCGTGCAAAGTACTCGTACTCTAGCAGGGCCGACATATTTTGCCCGAGCGCGAGAGCGCCTGGAGCATCCGGGGCAGCCCACGCTTCTGCCACTCTCAATCTCATTCGAGCTGCGCCGGGTGGGGAAGGCTGATGAGGTTTGCCCAGTCGGCCAGCCAATCAGACGGCCTCTCCGCAACTCGTGCTCAACCACCCATTCTGGCGATGGCAAAGAGAGCCCACGCGACACATGCCAGCTGCCAGCTGCCACAATGTCGTCTCAACTAGGTCGCCGCTGTCTCGACTACACCCCTCCATCCCACCTTCTGAGCCTTGCCCTGTGTCGAACCACGGCTGAGACCATTGCGTTTGTGTATGGCTGACGGATTGCCTTTCTATGCCCAGCACCGGTATGCCTCGTCCCAGCTTGCCTCCCACACCTCAACCGTCGACCGACCTCACGGCCAAGAGCAGCGCAAATGTCCTTCCATTAGAGCCTTCTTTTGCCCTTCCACCTGCTGCCCTGGGCGGCAGGGCGAGTGTAGCCAGCTCCTCTGCGCCCTCGGATAATGCCTCTGATTCATCCTACCGACCACCCTCCCCGTCGTCGCCCATTGCGAACTCGAAATCTAGCAGTTCGCGCAAACGCCCAAGTGCAAGTTCGGAACAGGCCATCATCACCAAGGAGGACTACTCTCTGCCCCCTCCACCCACTCGCTCGCGCAAGATCATTCAGATGAAGCCAAAAGAGGCCCAGCCAGTGTCCAAGTCGCAAGCTCAGAGTCAAGGTGCAAAGTCCACAACGGGATCCACCAATGCCAGTAAGAAGAAGCAAGGCGGCAATTCCACTGCTGCAGGGCGTAAGATTGCGAGGAAGACTGCGCACAGCTTGATTGAGCGGAGGAGAAGGTCCAAGATGAACGAGGAGTTTGGGGTGCTCAAGGACATGATACCCGCATGCCGAGGTCAAGAGATGCACAAGCTTGCCATCCTACAGGTAAGTCTTCTTCTTTGAACCCTAACTTGTGTATACTAACGAGTCCAGGCATCGATAGAATACATGAGATATCTTGAAAAGTGTCTCTCCGACCTCAAGACGGCCCATATGTCCCGTCGCGACTCCCCCGCCTCAACCGCATCCGAACTCCCCCCTCCACCCATCCGGCCTGCGCCCGAAGAAGACGACGAGGCAGAAGACGACCATGATGAAGACATGGAAGACGCCCTATCACCCACCCAAACCGAGCCCACTCACCCAACTCGCCACTACTCCATCGCCACCGCATCACCAGCCATCTACCCCTCCGACCAAAGCGCCTACTCCCACTCCACCACCACTTCCCCCGCCATCCAGCCCCACGACCGCATAGCCCACTACTCAACCCACCCCTCCCCTGCCCTCCTCCCCTCAGACCCACACCACTACACCCTCACCTCCTCCATCCGCTCCACAGCAACATCCCCCGCACACACCCCATCCACCACACACTTCACCAACCCCTTCCACACCATCGCGTCCCCCAGTACCGGCCCCGTCGCAGCCCAACCCCCTTCCTCCTCCCACGCCTCCCGCCCCTTCCAACTCTCCTCCCCGGCCTTGCTCCCGCAGCCGGACCGCGAGGACCAGGAGGCCACGGCCGCGCTGTTGATGCTGAATACAGATCGCAGGAGCTGGAGTGGCGCGCGCGGGATGAGTGTGAGGGATTTACTTAGTGGGTAGGCTGGGGGGTTTATGGCCGTGCGTGGATCGCGAGTTTCTGGACATGCGTGGTTTGGGGGGTTTGGGGACGGTGTTGTGGGCTGGGTAAAAGTTATGCGGGTGCATGCAAACGATACCATTATGGCTGGTGGTGTCTTTTTGGGGAGGCTTTAGTTGTTGAGTTTTTCTTTTAGGAGGGGGGGGATGGGAGGTTCGCTGTATTCCATCGTCTCGCAATGCCTATTTTATTTGACTGGTCAATTCCTTAATCAAATCGCTGATTGATATTCTCACTCTTCATCCTCTCGGCGCAAAAAAAGTGAAAAAACGCCTTCGCAGCTTTTGCGCTTGCTTTGGTAGAGACGTGTCGTGATTTGGATTGTGCATGGGAATTTCGATGTGGATGGAGGATGGAAGTGGGATTGGGACTGAGACTAGGAGTGGCTAAGACTGGAATGAATACCATTTTGGAGCCGTGCTTGTGATTATGAACTAGTTGTATTCATCGACGTTTCCCAAGGGTACATTGGGCTTCAAGGAGGATGGCATCGCGAAGTAGAATGTGAACAAGTCGGATAGGTTCAACCCCCCCCCCCCGAAGAACCAAAACCCAGCAGCGAAAAATCCAAAAGAACAAAGGTCCTCAACATCCAACTCTGAGGTGAACAGAAAACAAGACGTCTCGATTCGTTATGCAACGAGCTCGTCGCTTTATCCATGGCATATATCCTCGCGCTCATTAGATTATATACACACAGCGCAGGCTCTATCCCCTGAATATGAACGAGGAGGATTTCACGCACGGCGAAGAAAGGAAGAGAAAAACGCGGTAGACATATAACATGAGATACAACCCTCGACATCACCAGCTCACCCCCACCCCCTAAGGCAACCCACCCCCCGCATTCACCGCATCCGCCAACAAACTCGTCCCCGGCCGATTCTCCGCATACCGCTCATAACTATCGAGATACAAATCCTCACCACTCGTCGTAACGCGAACACAGCGCTCAGCCTCGATGCCCTCGACCCATCTGCGCCAGCGACTCCCCTCCTCAGGCGCAGGCCAACCGCGATAGGGCGTCAAAACGCGGCTGAGACGGAGGATCCAGGGCGCGAGCTGGACGTCGACGAAGCTGAGATTTGGGCCGAGAAAAAAGGGGCCGGTTGGGTGGGCGGCGTCGATGAGTTTTGCGATTTGGGCGGCGAGGTTGGCGGCGTGGGTGTGTTGGTCGGGGGCGGCTTGGGATTGGAGGAGTTTGTAGAAGAGGGGGATGATGTGGCGGTTGATGTGGTCGGTCCAGAGGCGGCTTGTCGCTCGGGATTGGGGGTCGAGGGGGAGGAGGGGGGGGCCGGCGGCGAGGTCTTCGAGGTATTCCATTATCACGCTGGATTCGTGTGTGGACCACGTGGGGCCGTGGCGGATGGCGGGGACGAGGCCGCGCGGGTTGACGTCGAGTAGGGATTGGGGTTTCTTGTAGGGGTCTACTTCGATGTATTGGTAGGGGAGGCGCTTGTATTCGAGCGAGATCCAGACGCGTTGGACAAAGGGGCTGGGTTGGGGGTTAGTTGCTGTTGAGCGGCTTTGAGAAGAGGTGTCGTGGGTGGGGAGGAGATGTTGGTAGGAGTAGGAGAGAAGAGAGACTTGCCAGAATGCACTACCATACAGCTTGAGGTCATCCTCTTTGGAGTGATTTTTGACCGTTGTCAACGCATTGCCCGTGGCTTTCTTATGGTACGTTTTCTTGGTCGCGTCGCCGCCCTGATTGGTGTCGGTCATTGTGGACAGTGCAGAAAAAGTAGACAAGCGCGAGCAGCGTGAAGGTTTGGGCAGGATAAATAGACCGAAACAGTGGACTGGGACTGGAAACGTAGAGTGACGACAAGGGACGTGACGGGGAAATGCTCGCAACACTCTAGTTGAGAACGTGAGAGTATGATTGAAAGACGGAAAACAAGCCATTATATCAAGACATGGCAAGATCGAGTGACTCGGCAAATGGTCCGATCAACTGGTCTAGCCCGCATCAAGATGACGTATGCATCTACTTGTTGCACGGTCGATCGTATTCACAACGAGTAACAAGCCAAAAAGCACAAGATGGACATACTTGGAAAGACGCAGAGATGGCAAATTGAACTGTAAGTGAAGGAATCTTACCTGTACTTTCTTTCTGTCATCCTTTTCCATCTTGGCCTGCCATCTCAGCACACTATTCTTCTTGACCCGGTCACTCTCTTCCAACGTATGTTTATGGGGACCCGCAACCCCATCACCTTTCCCATTTCCACCATTCCCATTGACTCTCTGAAATGTGTAAAACTTCTTTGGTGGAGGACCCGGTGATAATGGGGGACCTGGCGCATAGTGCGACATGCTCATACTCGGCTCACCCATGTTCGACGGCATATCCCAGGACCCAACTTGGTGTTGCGGTAACATCTGATGCGGCTGTCCGTAGAATGCTTGGGTCTGGCCTAGATTCCCACCCACCATACTGCCGGCGGTCATTGGGCTTGTCGACTCGAGTTCGGAGGCGACAGGTGGCCGATGACCGAGCTGCTCTTCATATTCCCGCTGATCGAAGAATTCCGTAATCTTGATCTTGACATCGCAGAGGTTGCGCTCTCGAGCGACTCGTTTCCTCTTCTTCTTGTCCGGATCGGTAGACTTCTTCGTGCCTGGCGGGCGGCCCTTGAGGCGACAGTCCCAGTAATGCGATACAAACCGTTTGCGCTTATGTCGCTGCGTGGATCGATGCGAGTAGACGTTGTCAATATGTGGGAAATAAGTCTGGAATCTGGTCATCAAGTTAGGTTAGTAAAATGCGCACATGTGCTGAAAGCAAAGACGAACTCTTCTTCTGTCAACGTGATCATATCATCTACATTGAACAGCCTTTCCCGCCACAAATCCAAATCTGGCGGATTCGGGATCAACTTGAGCCCTTGGAACTGGCCATGATTTGTGAACGGGGACTCGTCACCGTCCGGGGCCTGCGGTTGTTGGAGCACGGGCTGAGCGTGCTGAACATGTGGGTGAGATTGCGGCAACGTCAGTATAGGCAATGGCGCGGGTAGTGACAGCTGCTGTATTGGCCGTTGTGGCGGGAGTTGTGTCTGTGGTGGCAGCGGAGTTGATAGCTGCGGAGAGTGGTAGTGCTGCTGTGCGGGGCCTTGTAGTGGGGGTGGGGGCGGAGGCGCATTCACGAATAATCGTGGACTCGTCGCATGCTGGTAGGTTGCTGTTGCTGGATAGGGTGGGAACGAGGCAGAAGACGGTAAGCCATGTTGCTCGTACTGGTGGTGGTGTACAGGCAGCTGGTGCGCAGTTGGCGGTGGCGGCGGCGGTGGCGGTCCGTTCAGCGCATAGGGCTGTTGTTGGTGATGGTGATGATGCTGCTGCTGCTGCTGCTGTTGGTGTTGGTGTTGTTGCTGCTGCTGCGCATGGTAGACATTATGCGCGTGGAGGTCCTGAAGCTCGGGCACTGTCTGCTGTGGGTACAACGTGCCGTCGGGCGACTGGTGCAGCGTGTGAAGTGCGCCTGGGTGTTGTTGCAGTGACCGCAATTGCTGCTGCAGCACAGGCGACGAAGCCTGCTGCATGATGGCGCCGAAGGTTCAGTGCTGCTTTAAGCCGACCGACCGAGGAACCCAAAGCCGTTGTGGAAGTTTGGAAAAGATCACCCGGCAGCGAACCTGGTTCGCGGATTGCTACTGGAATGTGGTGCAGGTTGCAGAACAGTGACCAGCTAGTCAAAGCACGCAGAAAAGGTTGCAAAGGCTGATGGCTACTTCTTTGTCTGATTCAGCACTCTATGTGGCGATAATCGCTCCACCACCACTTGGGGAATATCATCATAACATCCAGCCGCTAATTCAAAACACATTGGAATCCTGGGATCCCCACCTCGCTCGCCCTCGTGCTGACAAGTGACATGCGGCCAACCCTATCAAACCTTCTTTTGTCTGTCCTGTCCTATCCTGTCCTGTCCTGCGCTACGCTGAAGTGGCTCCGAGGAGGGCCCCACATCCTTAGCTTTTGAACAAGACCAACCCGCGAAACCTCAACGCCGTGCCCATGCTGTGACGAAGAGAAGCATAATCATGAAACATACACATCTAACCATTTTCTACTCGCCAGGAAGCAAGTTGCTCTTGACCGCAAACATCTTGGCGGTGACTCCAGCGGTGAATCCATCCACCTGCCTCGAGTACTGCTCGACCTGTCTCGAGTTTAGGAGCGTCTCCAACCTGCTGGGCTCCTGGGGCAGCTTGAACAGTCTTTGCCACTCGTCTTCTGGGAGAAGGGCCTGCTTGGATGCCGTGCGTGCGGCGTTCTCGGCCTTGCGCTTCTGTTGCCAGGCGGTGATCTTGGTTTGCTCACGTGCGAGCGAGCGCTGGTAGTACTGGTAGTTGTTGATCTCGGTGTGGTGATTCTCGATGCTCTCGAGGAGGAGATCACATGTCTTCTCGAGGAAAGGGTCGATGGAGAGGTCTAACGAGTCGTAGTTGGGAAATAGAGGAGGTTGTGGGGTGTTCGGGTCTTGTTGCAGAGCAGCTAGGTTGGGTGGGAATTTGAGCTCCTCCTTGGGCGCAACGGATGGCAGCTGGTGAAGAAGTGATGTGAGGAGATGGGAGTTGCGAATGGTAACAGGGAGTTCGACCAGGATGTCGTGGTAACGGAGTCCGCTCTTTTGAAGACTACAATTGTTAGACATGTTACAGTCGCGATTCAAGTAAAAATCTCATACACACCTTTCGGTTGTGAACTTGCCCTCCTTGTACGCGGTCACAAAGGAAGGCGAAAGTCTGTATGCGCGCAGGTTCAAGCTCCCTTGAGAGCTTCTGCTCACATCGTAGACGACAGCCACGGTCCGCTCATTTGGCTGGGTCTGGTAGAAGTACTGGTTCTCAATGGTGTTCAGGTTGACGAAGTTGCCCATGCTGGTGCTGGTGTACCACCCCACGTTGTTGGCATCGACGTTGACTTCGCGCAGGAACTTGATCATCTCGTTGCCGTATGCAATGTTCTGCTTGGCACGAGGAGCGGCAGCGGCGAGACTAGCCGCGGAGTCGTTCTGTCCATCGGCCTGTGCAACAGACAGCTCTGGGAAGGGGAAGCAGTTGGTGATCTCGAGGACGCCATTCTTCTCCATGCCAACCACACTACCAGTCGCGAGAGAAGGGAAGGATTTACCACTGGCAGTGGCAATCTTGATCGCGACCTGAACTCCATAGTCAGCCTCTTGTACTTGCGAAGTATGCCCAAAGTGTGTGAGCTAGAAGAGCACAATGGCGGGGGGCGTGGTGGGGTGCCAGCTTCGCGGTTTTGGACGTACAAGGGCATCGATCTGCACCGCCTTGAAAGGCAGTTCTTTCTGAGCGTCCGCCATGTTGGAGTCGTCGAAAAAACGTTGGGGAAAGGTTCGGCGGGGGGCGGTAACGTTGGGCGGTCGTTGGTGTTGAGGAGTAGAATTCGCTCTCAGTGACTTTGCCAAGATTCACCATGCTAAGCGAAGAGCATGACGCTAGCTCAAACACGGTTAGATCTCATTGCCCTCCGTCCTACAACATGTACATGTATTATTGTGCTCGTTCTGCCTCGCAATATAAATTCTTTGGGCTCAGATTTCAGTCTGGTATAAATATGCGTCTCATGAGTGATTTCGAGGAGATCCATTGTCACTTATCGGAATCAATTGTGTTGATTTACTTCTTCGTTCCCAAATCTCCTAACGACACTAAAACATCGTCCTCCAACAAGCCCCCCTTTCCAGCCATCCAATATGCAAACAAAAGGACCCAAAAAAATGGTATAAAGCGAAAGCGCCAAATAAACAACAAGTAAAATCGCAATGTTCATATACAGAGTAAGAAGAGAGAGATATCATGCACGGTGCGCCCAGTCCGCAAGCTGGTGCTCTGAATCCATAGAGTCTTGATTCTTCTCGTGGTGACTCTTCGCAGGCATGGGAGCGCCGCGGCGGTCCAGCGAGTATGTCGACATGCCCTCTTCGACACCTTCGTCTGGGATTCCGACTTCGCGTGTGAGTTCGACATAGTCGTACTGGTAATATGTTAGTTTGCGAGTTCGTGAAGAGAGGGGGGGAAAGGGAAGTAGCGTACAGCGAACTCGCCGATTTCGACGTCGTCGATACCGAGGGCTTCTTCTTCTTCGCTGGCGCGGAGACGCAGGACGGGCACAAATTTGCCGAAAAAGTCGAGGACGCCGAGGATGATGCAGGTGCCGATGAAGGAGTAGGCGCCGCCGGCAAAGGAGTCTGCGAGTTGGTAGCCGAGCTGGATCCAGTGGTGGTTTAGCCAGCCGCCGTCGATGATGGTGGCGCCGTCAAGATGCGCAATGTAGTCTGCGGCAAAAAAGGCAGTCAGGATGTTACCGATGAAGCCGCCGACGCCGTGTACAGCAAAGATGTCGAGGGCATCATCGCAGCGGAGGAAGTACTTCAATTTGGTGGCGTAGTTGCAGGATATGCCGCCGACGACACCAAAGACCACGGCAGACCAGGCAGGCACGTATCCAGATCCAGGGGTAATAGCCACCAGACCAGCAATGACACCAGAGCAAAAGCCCACGGTGGACCACTTGCGCTCTAAACGGTAGTCGACCAGGCACCAGGTAATTCCACCGCAGCAAGCAGCCAGGTTGGTGCAAACAGCGGCCATGACCGCACGGAGGTTAGCAGACAGCGCCGAGCCAGCGTTGAAGCCGAACCAGCCAACCCATAGGAAGACGGTACCAATGACGATGTGGGTGACGTTGTGCGGGCGGTAGTTGAGCTCTTGTGTTCCATGTCCACTTCTCTTTCCAAGCATATAGGAGTATGCGAGAGCTGCAGTACCAGAGGCGATATGGACAGGGGTTCCGCCAGCAAAGTCCAATCCGCCCATCTTGAAGACCCAGCCGGATGGGTTCCAGGTCCAGCATGCGATGGGGTCGTAGATGACGGTAGTCCAGATGAACATGTAGATGACACAGGGAAGCATCCTTCCTCGTTCGGCAACAGCTCCGACGGCCAGTGCAACCCTATGTGATATTAGCTAGGTCTTGCATTCAAGGTTGTAGATCATACGTGATGGCGGCGAACATGCCCTGGTAAAGACAAAACATGAGGTCAGGAATCCGCGGACTACCGATAGAAGGAGCCGCTAGAACATCCATTAACCCAAAGTTATCCAGCGCTCCGATGAACTTTCCGGCCTTGTGCGAAAAGGCAAGTGAGTAACCCCAGAAAAACCACTGGAAGGAGACGACCGCGGCCGCCATGACGGAAAGCCATAATAACGATAATGCCGACTTTCTCCTTGCAAGTCCAGAGTAGAAGAATCTAGTTCCAGGTCAATTCTGAACAGCATAGGGCGAGAAATGTTAAACTCACCCTACACCTGGGATCATGAGAAGCACGAGCGCTGTCGATGTGATCATCCAAGCGATGTCGCCGGGCTAGAGAGATGCATTAGCTTAGCCCCACGCATCATCATCAGAATCGCCTCCGGCAAACTTGCATTGTAAAAGACATTGAGATTGTATAGTCTCGAATCGCCTCCCGTCGCTATGGAAGTATTGGTGAACGTTTCCAAAGGAAGCGTCGGATCCAGTCCCGACGATACTGGATCCATTTCGGGCGGTCTGGCACTAGAATACCGTCGTCTTTGGAAAGTTGACAGAGGTTCGGTTTTGCGAATCCAGCGAATGGAGCCCCTCGCAGCAATACCGTACAGAAGCTGGATAGGGAATAAGAGGTAGGGAAACTGAGAAATGGAAAAGAAGGAATGGAGTGGGTAGAGGGGAGGTAAAAGGGCCTTGGTCGATGGCGACAACGCTCGAGAACGGGATGTTTCGTAGGTCAGACCTTGGCGCTCGCCCCAACCTTGGAATAGCAGAGCTGCAAAGAAGCAAAGAAGGTCGGGTGAAACTAACGCAACGACCGAGGAATAGTCGGCAGCGTGGGCGGGGCTGGGTACCCAGACAGCAATGTGAGGATTCACAAGATGGTATACATATACGACGACGTCGAGTGGCTGATTAGTCGCTTAGGTAGTTCAACCACGTTGGCTTGATCTCCGAACGCACGTTCGAAGGGGTCCGTGATGGCTGCTAGGTATCGTATCAAGACAGGACAGGACAGTCAGGACAATGATCAGAAGCTATGTAGAGTACCTAGTCCTCCCATGTGTGTACCCTTATTACCGTTTCCGCCCACAACGCTTGGACGGTTCCTAAAGGACGAGGTGCAGCATCATGTCTTGCCCCCGTGCAAGAATTAGCAAGTGGCAAGCCACTGTGGGGGATTGATGTAGAGTAGATACATACCAGAGATCTGTGTGGTACATGAGGTCTTGTGTGTGATGCGTGATGTGTGTTGTTGTTGGTCAGCCAATCTCGAGACGGCCTGTCACGGCTTGCTCGCTTGCTCGCTACGATAAGTACCCAGCAGCCAGGCGCCGGCTCCCACCCAAACGCAGCCCCATGTTCCTACATTTCTGGGGCCTTGTTTTGTGTGCGGCTGGACGAACCGCGTCCGTGGGATCATGTCCGTCCTCGTAGGATGGCAAAAAAAAAAAAAAAAAAAAAAAAAGAGAGTCTGGAGCAGCCGTTTCTTCTCTAGTCAATCTTTTTCCAAGCCAATCTCAGTCACCACTACCCTACTCTTACATAGGAGTCGTACTTTGTGTGAGGGTCTTGAAGGCTCACAAGACTGTCATGTTCTACTTCTCCAAATGCCCCCCATTGTCTTATCCTCCCTGACAGTGAATGGCCTGCCTGCGAGCACAAATAGCGGCCCGGACATCAAGAGCAATCTCGCATGCGACATTTACCATGCCGCCGGTCGCACGAGTGTCCTATCGCTCCCCTATCCGTGTTGGGTGATGCGAAGAACAATATGTCTTCCCCAGTTGTGCCGAGCAGGGCACGCTGATAACGTGAGGAGCCGTGATAGGCCCACCGAACCTGTACGTCGGCCTCAGATCTCACAAACGAGGCTAGAGCCGAGAGCGAGGTCACGGGGCCAGTCTGGGCAACTGGTCACCCAAACCGGGCAACGCCGCCTTTGCTGCACATGCATTTGACCCCCGTCACAGACATAACATGACCCCCATCTTCACAAACATCAAAAGGTCCAACGAACTGTGGTTGTCCAGGCCATTTCATTCGACATGGCAAGACTAGATGAGAAGAAATTACTCGAGCTTCACATTCCAAAGCTTCTTTTCTAGCACAGCATACCGGTACCGTTGCAAAAAAAAAAAACAAAAAAAAAAAAACAAAAAAAAAACAGGATCAGATCTGTACCTACCATAGCCAAGTCTTTGTAATGCATCCCTCCAACAGCCCTATTGTTTCGGTTCCTTATCTCTCTCTTCCCCTCATCTCTTCCATGTTCAGCACCGTTTCCAAAAAGGTCAATCCCACGTCCTGCCGTCGCATCCCGCCGAGAGCTCCAACCACCGGCATCCAAGACAGCCCCTGGCCTGCATCTCTTCTACTCTTGCGGCTTCGGCTTGCATGGACACATCACATGCTAGCGCCTCTCCGCTGTCTTCCCATTGGTACCGGTAGCTTTACGATGCGCTCATAGCCTGAGACAAGTCATTTTCAAGAACAAAGACGAGGCGGCATCAAGGTTGTTTACTGTGCATGCATTGATGGTTCATCTAACACATGCCAATTCGATTCACAGCTATTGTGGTCTTGGATACGACATTTTATAAATTCCTCCGACACAGTTTCCAGGTACGCGTGTGCTTTAGCTACCTGCCATTGGCCACGCTCGGCTCGGGCTGATGGCCGGTGAGAATAGACAAGAGCTTAGTTTCTAGCCCAAGCACGTCCATAGTACTCGCAGCTCTCTGTCCAAGCGCTTTGGGACCTACAAACATCCAGAGATCCAGTACTTGGCTAACTTTTACGATGGCAAACCTGGAAGCGTTTCGACATCTGTTTCCCTCTTGAATTGTGTATCTTTCCAGTCGCCTTGTCCCAGATATCCATGCAAATGGATGCATGAGCGGGTCACATACTACCGCCGACGTAATAATGTCGTGTTTAATAAAAGCCTCTTTCGGGCCGCCGTTGGTTTCAAGGTGTGCGCAAGCAGGTATGCTCTTACATTTGTCCACTGGAAGGCTTACTTTCTCTGGGGTAAAGCGCTATGAGACTGAAAGAGGGCGGGGTTTGTAGGAGACATGTACGCGCGTCTCGAAGGGTGGATAGCCGTCCACGATACGATTGGACAGTCCTGCGTTTATTTGCATGTCAAATTATCAAGGATGTGCAGGTGTGCCGGATCCGACTGGTGTTGACCCTCCAGGTGTGCCTGAGTCGGTACCGATCTTCTTCTTCTTCTTCTTTTTTCTGGGTATCAGGGCCGGTGTATTTGTCATTGCGCTGCGTAGGGAGAGATAGGAGCCACATGTCAAACAAAGGTTATCCGGAAGATCGGGACTGCAGAAGACTGATGCGAGATTAGCATCATGTTGACATGTGCAAGAATAATATTGCAGGAACTTACTGCTAAGGCATACACTGCACACAAAGCCAATGTCAACCACCCTTCGATGGCAGAAGCATGCTGCCCGGAAATCAACTCCACCTGCATTAGGAACGACCAAGCTTGCCCTTGCAGTCACATCTGGCAAAAAAGCCATCATCAGATACTGTAGTAACCCCTCTGGCCGTTCAGGCTTCATATAGACACCTCCGGTCGCGTCACTCGCTTGCTGCAGCAGGACAGTATCTCCTGCTAGTTTGAGGATATCTATTGGAATTCTTTTTCTCTGCGCAGCAAATATAGAATTCATGACGGGTATGTATTGATTCGCGAGATCTCCAGACACGGAGACAATGAGTATGCGAGATGTCAACGGTATTCGGTCGACATGAGTATTCTCAGCATCCGCTAATGCTGCGAGGGATGCACTCTCAGCGCTGGCTGCGGTTGGTGCGTGCAACATGGTTTGCTTGTTTATATGTGTCAAAGCAAGTGAGAGCGCTCCGCCGATGAGAGTGGTTGGTGTCGCAGCGAGGTGTCTCTCATTGGTCTCGTCCAGTAACTTTGCGAAATTTCGTAGAATTGCATTTTCGACTATGGCAAATGGCCGATATTTGTTTGGATTCTCCGCCATGTGAGGCTCGCTGTTGCCTCCAGCACCGTTCATCTCCACATCTCCATTTGCAGCTTTACGCGGTCTTGGACTGGATGATGGTGTCGGGTATAAAAAGGTCGTCTTATGTGAGTGCGATGCTATGACAGCAACTTCGTTCGCATTTCCTGAGGCTAGGTGGGCGTTGATGAAGACGAGGATGTTGGCGAGGGCTGCGGACAATGAAAGGGTCGAGGAAAGATGCGCCCAGGCGTGCGGGTTGGTGTCGAGAACAATGGCTAGTAGTGATGGCGGAGGTGCTACGCATACGTTAATCGAGAGTACATGTCTTTGAGCTCATTCAACGCATACCTTCAACCGTCTTGACATGACGGTCTGAGCCATCAATGCCGTTCATGCTGAGTAGAGTAGGCGCACAGCTACCCTAGGCATTCGAGGGATCAAACTCTCTATATACAGACCTTTGACATATTACTTCACTAGAGACAAAGGTTCAGTGCTAAGTCCAGGTGTTGGATGTGCAGCTTTCCGTGCAGGTGAGGTTTTGTGGCCTAGCTTGTCGATGAGGTCAATTCGCGAATGCCCACCTGGGCAAGCGCGACCACGTCTGCACGTGACAGAGGGAGAGATCTCCACAGGGTAGCAAATAGGCCCGAAATCACGACCACCTCCAGTCCAAAAGTTGGTGAGTTCTAAGGCTGAGATTCTTTAACGGAGAATAGTCCTGTCGGCCGCATGCCTATTACCGCTTTTATATCTGCAGGTCCATCCCAATACCGGTAACTAGCATGGTGGGTTGGCGACATCAGCCTGATGCACCGTCAAACGGCTACCTACGACTGCTTCTTGTCCTTCTTCTGCTGAAACTATCGCATCAACAACTTGCAAGATAGCACTAAATCATTCAACCTCTTCACTCTACACATCATCTATTAATACTTTCTATCATATGTTTTGATCATGCGTATTAGGTACGTCTGGGATAGCGTCCCGAAGGAGCGCCAATGCAATCCTTGATAAGACAAGTGTGAGAACACAGTCAGCAAATGAAAGAGTTATTGTTCTGTCGGAACATGGGTTTTGAACACTCAGACATCTTAAGATGATTGTATTCCTATAGGAAAACATGATGATGTCGTTACCAGAGGTAGATTGGTGACTCACCACTGGAGTCATTCCTGGTGGCGTTTCAGGGTCTACCGAGGCAAAGCAGCAACTCTCCCCGCTTGGGGGCGTAAGGACAAAGTGCGCCAAAGTGCGCCTGGCCGGCAAAATGGGCGTTGGATGATTGCATTGTGGCCCCAGGGCGGCCTGAGAAAGAGCTTATATCATTGCTCACCTTTCTCCACCCGAGGCCCCAGTTTTTATGCTATCCCATGTTAGCTGAGATTCAACCATAGCTTGCCTATGTTTGCCCAGGCATACATTATTAGATTGAATTGACTTTATAGCTATCTTCCTCATCATTTGTTATATCACCTTTGGAAATGATTACAGAAACGATTCGTAGAGTCGATGGCTACTCACATGATGCATACACGTATTATCCAGTCATTATTGTCGGTGCCGGCGCTTCTGGTATTGCTATGGCGTGTCAGTTAAAACAGCAGCTTGGATTCGATCAATTTCGCATTTTTGATCGCCAGGCTGGTATTGGAGGCACTTGGTGGATCAACAGATACCCGGGCGTTGCATGGTGAGTCTTCTCCTCTCTGGCCGAGAGTTCAATGGAAAATATCAGTACGAACACCGCTCACACCATATAGCGATGTGCCTGCTGTCTTTTACTCCTTCTCCTTTGCCCAAAACCCGAACTGGACATCCTTTTACCCGCCTGGCAACGAAATCGTTCGATATTACCACGAAGTCTGCGAACAATACAAGATTACGGATAAGTTTGAGCTCAACACGGACATCCAAGGCTGCAGATGGCTGGAAGATGAGAAGCTATGGGAGGTCACGATACGCAGGATGGTGGCAGGTATGGGGGATCTCTCAGCCAAGGAGCGGCAGAAAATTGTCGATGATCAGGGCGAACACGCTGTGTATTCTGAAACGGAGATTGTGAAGAGTAAAGTCGTTGTCAGTTGCGTTGGTGGTCTTGTGGAGCCTAAAGGATGGCCTGATGAGATCAAAGGCATTGAGAACTTCAAGGGCAAGATGTTCCATTCTGCGAGATGGGATGAAAGCGTGGACTTCACCGAAAAGAGTGTCGTTGTTATTGGAACAGGTTGCAGTTCTGCCCAGCTCGTACCACGGTTACCAAATGCACCGTATAATGCAAAATCAGTCACCCAGCTGATGCGATCTCCACCATGGGTTGTGCCCCGCCCTTCTCCACCGGGAGGAGACGCCTGGTGGGAGAAAAATAGTGCGAAGCTGATGAAGTATATCCCAGGATTAAAGGAAATGTTGCGATTCACCGTATTCCTTGCCGCCGAGGGTGAGTTTTTGAAGCTGTTCCCCAACACAGCATATGCAGAGAAGCATCGAAAAATCTACGAGGAAAAGGTCCTGGAGAATATGAGGAAGTACGTGCCCGAAAAGTACTGGGAGATCATGACACCAGACTATGGTGTAGGCTGCAAACGACGCATCTTCGATAAGCGATGGCTAAGAAGCCTCAACGACCCCAAGATTAACCTCACTACACAACCGTTGAGTCGAGTCAGCGAAACTGGAGTAGTACTAGGACGTGGAGCCACATACCCCAACAACGTGAACCCTGAAGAGTATCCAGAGAAAGAGATAGCCGCAGACATTATCGTGTTAGCCAACGGCTTCGACACAACCAGATGGCTTCATCCCCTAAAGGTTGTCGGTAAAGGCGGCAAAGACCTCGTGGAGCTCATGGAGGACCGAGGAGGAGCCCAAGCCTATCAGGGTACAGCAATGGACGGCTTCCCAAACTTCTTCATGATCTTTGGTCCCAACACCGCCACAGGACACTCTTCAGTCGTCATGGCGAGCGAAAGTAAGTCAACCGTACATCGACTACCCTCTTGCCCCCATGCTGACGATCACTGCAGACATGGTGAACTTTACCCTAAAATTCATTGCCCCCATCCTGCACAACCATGCTACAACCGTTGAGATCAAGACATCCGCGGAAAATGCCTACACGGCTGAAATGCAACGCGCACTCAAAAACACGGTTTGGCAGAGTGGTTGTTCTAGCTGGTATTACACCAAAGATGGCTGGAATTCAACCGTCTATCCCTACTCGCAGATTGATTTTTGGCGCCGCTGCACGTTTCCTACATGGAGTCATTGGGATATAGAGTATACAAGTAAAGGGCTTATGAAGATGCGGAGGAGGAGAGTGATGAGGGTTTTGGCAGTGTTGGTGGCGGTTGTCGGGGCTTGGAGGGTCAGGCAGATGGGGTGGAGGGTGGGAGATGTCAGGACTATGGTTGAAGGAATAGTTAGGAGGTTGGTGGAGGGGAGTTTGTCGAGGCTGGGGCAGTCTTGGGATGTAACGAGGAATACCGGTGTTTTCTTGATGACGGGGAAAGGTGTGTATGCTCGGTGATGCAGCAGTGGCAGTTTGTTGGTACCATGTAGATGTGAGTTTGTAATCAATGTACACGAATGTAATCTTGTGCCCAGTTCCAATCAGACTAGATGGCAAGGCTCGATGCTTGATTTGTTCTGCTCTGTTCCGTGAAGGCTTCGTTTGTACAGATGTTGGTGTCCTAACAAACGAAGCGAGAACGCAGAAACACTTTCAGTGGTCTGGCATTCCCGTCCCTTCAGCCCTACCCGTTGGCTGTGGAACCCCAACAGCACGTCATTCACGCTAAAAATTATTCAATGCATCTCCAGTGGAGAACTGACCAGTGCATAGAGTAGAGCATTATTCTCACTGCGGGACCGGCCGGTCGGCCGCATGATTGTGGAGTTTTGACAGTACATCTATACTAACGAGCGCATTCTGTCTCACCCCATTTGCAACATCGTCTGGCCTCACTTCTGACTTTTGATTTCCTACTTCCTACTTCTTACTTCCTATACTACTCAGATTACTATCAGTCTGTTGCTTCTACACGCACATATCCAACATGGCAACGTGAGCCCCGCCATTACCCCGCCATGAAGATGAACATAATTAACAAGACGACAGCAACATCACATGGCACCCCTCCCTCTCTCGCGCCGAGCGCAACGGATTCCGCAAGCAAAAGGGCTTCACAATTTGGTTTACTGGCCTCTCTGCGTCTGGCAAGTCGACCATTGCAACTGCGCTCGAGCAGCACCTTCTGCACCTGGGCTACGCTGCATACCGCCTCGACGGCGACAATGTGCGCTTCGGCCTGAACAAGGACCTGGGCTTCACAGAGAAGGATAGAAACGAGAACATCAGACGGATAGCAGAGGTACGTAAAGTGAACGTAACGCAAAACATCTGTCGCAAATTCAATCATGGAGTTGGGACCGCAAGCACACCTCGCAAACATCACATCTCGACTATGTCACTAAACCCACACCTACCAGGTCGCCAAACTCTTCGCGGATAGCTCCACAATCGCAATCACCTCCTTCATCTCGCCCTACAAAAAAGACCGCGCCACCGCTCGCGAACTCCACGCCATCACTACCGGCGATGATGAGCCCCTCGCCTTTGTAGAAGTATTTGTCGACCTCCCGCTCGAGGTTGCAGAGGCGCGCGACCCCAAGGGCCTATACAAGAAGGCGAGGGAAGGCAAGATCCCAGAGTTCACAGGCATCAGCGCACCGTACGAGGCGCCCGAGAATGCGGAGATTCACATTAGGAGTGATCAGAAGAGCGTGGAGGATAGTGTCAAGGAGATTACTGAATATCTGCAGAGTAAGGGGCTTTTGGAGCAGCTGAAGTAGGGGATATATATTATCGACTTGATTTACTTGGGTCAGAGAGGTGTAGGAAACCTCGTTGAAGAAACAAAATGCATCTGGAGATGTGGATACCACACATACTCGTGCAGATTATCGTTCATCTCCCATCCATGTCACAATTCCCCCTCAGTATCAACGCAGAAAACCAAATCTCCACTACTTGGCCACCCAGCGCAATTCAGATAGGTAGTCGAAGCGAACACCTATCCCATACCCACCATCCCAAACCGCACTTCCAACACAAGCCATCCCCAACCCTCCGCCAACAAGGATACCTATACCTATACCTACACGTCCTCGTCCTCGTACACATACACACACCGTACACACCAGCAACCCCAACCCCAACACACGTACCACCCCGCCTCGCCCAACTTACTCCAAACGAAATAGGTTCTGCGGTGGCGATGTCAAAGATCGGATACACAGGCTCCCCCCGGTACTGTTGAGAGCGATTGTTTGGGATGTGTGTGTATGTGGGTGGTGGGTGGTGGGTATGGACATGGGATATGGGATATGGAATTTGCGGTTTGCGTGGATGGGACTACGGGTGCGTGTGTTGTGGGAGCGCGAGGAGGGTGGGTTGGTGTTGGGATGATGAGGTGGGCGGATTAGCCGGGAATGGATTCTGGGATTTGTATGGTGTTTGGGGAGAAGGGTTTGTGTGGCGTGGTGTTGGCTTGCGGTCCTGGTGCTGTGGAGCAAGACTTCATGTGATACCTAACAGCTACACTACACGATATCCCACATCCTCCAGTCCAAACCCCCCCACCCCCCTCCCTATCTCTCATCCTCCCATTCTCCAACCCTACCTCCTGATTCTTTATATTACTTCACCCCGCTCTCCTCCCCCCTCCCTACACGCCACAAAACCCCACCCTGCCATGCTGAAAAAATAATCACTTCACACCCTACAACACACACAACCGCTCCACCAAGCCAACAAGCTTAGCGCACAAAATAAGATAAAAATGAATCGTGCAAGTGTGCGCGAAAGGGTAGGTTTGGGGCTGGATAACGTGTATGAGGAAGGAGAGCGTGGGAGAGAGTTTGGCATGTTTGAGCTGGGGGGACGTTGTGCGGAGGAGCAAACGGGGGGTATGGATATATTATACTATACTGTACCGATAATACATGTGCAGTAGTAGTAGTTTGAGGGTGGTCGTGTTGGTCTGGGATCATGGGCTTGTGTGGGGATTTGGTGTGGAGAAAGAATCATGCTCTGACATGAGTGGACAAGGGGATTTGTGGTTTATAATCGTAGGGGTTTATAATAGCAAGTAAGTGAGTCAGCAAAGCAGGCAAAGCAAGCAAACCATGCCCTCAAAACCCTCAATCACGATTATAACCAGCAAGTCTTGCATTCCAAAATGACGAATACCATACTTCATAACAGGGATCTACCATAGTCTCCCACCCCGCCCGCAACCCCTTCTAACCCTTCCAAGCGCGCGACTATTGGAAATCCCGCTGCGCAATATATCGGGTGTAGGGGGTGGTGGTGGCGGGCGGGTACGAGATTTCCGTTTGTGGATATTGCGTGATGGGTGATGGGGGGAAAGGAATACTCGGTTAACCAGGGGGGGAAGGCATGTGAAGGAATTAGACTTCCCGAATGAAACGAGGGGTGCAGGAACATCCCTGGTCGTCATCAGACAAAGCGCGACGGGGACGGTATCTTGTGTTTACAAGGCGCCGCCGAGATCTTGCTTGAGTACGTCGAGGATCTTTTTACTATCTACTTGGCCGTCTTCTTGCTCCTTGTTTGCGGGGTCTCGTGCCGCTCCGTCTTCTTTCAGCCGCTTGAGGATTTCGGGATCGAGGTGTTGCAGTAGGTCGTCGAGTTCTTTTTGCTCTTCGCCTTGTTGCTTGATGTATTCTTCCTCTAGCATGAAGGAGCTGGGGAGCGGGTAGAGGGAGCTGGGGAAGACGTAGATGGTGGGGAATTCGAGGACGGTGTGGCCGCGGAGGTTTTCGGCTAGGGGCTGGGATGGGTCGAGGGGGATGAGGACGTGGCGGGTTGAAGTTGTACGGGGTCGTAGTAGGTAGAAGTTGAGTTGTGGTTTGTCTTGCGATTGGGTGTTTGGTGTGTTGTCGGAGTCTGGAACCATTGCGTCTTTGCTGGTAACTGCATCTTGGTCTTGGGTACCAGGGGAAGACTTTCTCTCCAAAGGCGGTTGCTCTGTTATTTCATTCTCATTTTTCGGCGGAACCTGAGGTTGTTTTGATGTATTTTCGTCTGGCTCTTCTGTAGCAGCATCTGTGACTTGTGACGCACCACTTGCCAGCTTCCTCTTCTTGTTCTTGTGCTGATTGTTGTGTTGACGGAATGGATTGGCATCCTTGACATAGGCTGTAGATGATGTCTCGGTAAGTACACGGGTTTTGTTTGCATCAAACCATTCCACCGTCCAGACGATATTCCTGTTGGCCTTCCTGATTTCAAGCGTCAGTACGAATCCTTGTTATGATGGCTGGACTCCCTACTTGGTCTTTGAGATGTGAGACTTGTTCTCTCTCTGCCTACTCAAGCCCTGAGGAGCGCGAATGACTCTTACTCCCGCTGCCTCGAGACGATGGTAGTTGATTTTCCCATGATGGGCCTTTGCACTACCATCAGACGGAGCATCCGTAGCAGCGCTAGCAGCCCGTTCCGCCTTCTCCAGGTTCCGTTCAATGCCACTCAGAAAATTGAAATCATGATCAATACCGGCTGGGGTGACTAGCTGTGACTTCTTCACGAATTTCGTGGGATCCCGTTTGCCCGAGCATTGCGCCCATTGCTGATGGCGCTTATAACATGGCAACGAGCAGGTGCGCGCAGCACAACCTGGACAACAGTACTTGGATTTGTTGACGTTGCTATTTATATTAACAAAACGATCAGGCTGAAAGGCCCGAGGAGGCAGCACAACAGGGCACATTGCACGGTGGAGAGGTAAGCGTCGAGGAAAAAACGTACCAAATGCTGCAAAGATCGCTCAGCAACGCCTCGTCGGACATGGTGACAAGGAATTAGTCCCCGGAGTATGAGATCTGATCACCGTGATCTTGATCGAGTTTGATTGCGTGCTGCACGATTGGCGGAGGTTCCTGGAAAAAGGCAAGCGGACATATCCGAGTGCAGAGGTGGTATCGAAGCACTTGCACATTCTGGGGCTGACTTTGCTGGTGGGTGCGGTCCATGACTTGAGCTGGCTTGGCGACGCGGACGGGCAATTTCCAAGATTTGTGGCTGCGGAAGCCTGAATGCGACCTCGCAAACCCCGTCCAGCCAACCCGTTCGCGAGGAGCAAGCGTGAAAGCCCAAAGTCGTGCAAAGCCACAAGGAGCATCGAGCCGAAGCATCGAGTCTGGGAGAAGGCTGACTTGATGCATAGAAGGCACGGCTGACAGGGCAGCCTTTTCGTCGAACGGTCTATGGCTTGGACGGATCGCCGTCTATGGTACCGGTACCGTACGGTGCGCCTAGCTGGTGAACGGGTGCTGGTTCGCGGTGGAGCTACGATCATTCGGCGATCCATCAAGCTCGCTCTCGCAACGGACCGCCCTCTGGCAAAGACAAGTGCCTTTATTTTATGCACGCCTTGGAGATGCAGTTTTGTTTGTTTTGTGTGTGCGATGGCTTGGGGGCCCACATGGATCATGATGGATGAGGGGCCTCGTGGTTTAGGTACAACATCCTCTTGCCCCGATCTCCCAAGCAGAGATGCCTTTTCCAGGCCAACGGAGGCATCCCCCACTCCTTATCGACCATCAGGTGCATGCAAGTGGTGATCGCACTCAAAAGAGGCCAGCACAGACTTTGGGGCTATACGCTTGCGAGTTCGCGCGGTAAGAAAGTAAATGAAAGAGGCTCCCATCTCACTCGAATGCAGACCAGAAACGGGCAGCCAACAGGAACGGAAGCGAGCCAGGCCGATGCACCCACGTTCCAAACGCATAAAGGCCGGTGTTTCAGCTATGCAGGTTGACTCGACCGTTCTGCCATGACAAGCGGAGAGGGCGGAGGCGAGATATTTTTTTCCATGTTGGCAACGATGGCCAATGGCATCTACTCTCCATTGTACTACCTTGCGTTGTTGGAAGCGGCCGATGCGGGACAAGGTCAAGCCTGGATCGTGGCTTCTGCGGCGAATCTTCGACCCGACGGTGAAGAAGAGGGATGAAGCAGAAGACGGCCTCGTGTGCTGAAGACATGTTGGCTGTGGATCGGCGCTGCAAACCGACAACCAACATCAGCATCATCCGATGGCCAGTAGGTAGGGGCAGACTGGCGAGCAGCCGACTACTACTGGTAGAGTATAGTTGGACGCAGCCCTCTCCCCGATGCCCTGTCTGGGGCTGCGTATGCGCGACGCAGGTTCATGCATGCTGCTGCGAGGATGCACATGGCTAATAGAGGAGATAGAGTACATGTGGTGCACCAATGGCTTGCGCCTGAATCAAAAACTTCCCGACTGGGCATCCAGCATAGGGCCACAGTAGTGTCACTCTCTACTCTACATGCTCTCTCCCTACGGCGCTATTGCCTGCCCACCCGTCGGTCGAGAAGGCTCGTTCGCGCCACCTGGCCCGCCCTTCTTTTCTGCTCGAGTCGTGGTACCAGAGAGGCGGCTCTCGGGATAGACTGATAGGCGCAGCCAGGCAGGCAGCTCCCTATGTAGAGTACATGGTAGTATTCCAACTTTGCGAATCGCCGAGCTCGTTTACTTGAATGGGCCGTCTCGTCGTCCTGAGGGGATACCCCCCCCCCCCCCCCCATAGGTCCCTTTGTAGTCTCCCGTCTGCAGTCTGTATCTGTATTCTATACAGCTCCTGTTTTGCTGCTTCGGCTCAGACTGGCGCTGTTTGGGCAGCGGGGCACGAAAGAAGAACAAGAGGTGCAGCGGTGCAGCGGTGGAGATGAAGATGAATGGGAGGCGGTGCTCTCTTTCCGCCTCCTGACCGCACTTGACGACTGTCTGCTTGCTGTAACCCGTGCTCGGAGACGGAAGCTTGGAGGGAAGGGCCTGGTCACTTGACCGGGACTGGCAGCTTGTCCCTGCCAATCTCCCTGAACCGAGAACTTGTCATGGGTCCCTTCCCCCTGTCTAGCCCCCTCTCCCTTAGCGCCTTCTCTCTCTCTCTCTCTCTCTCTCTCTCTCTCTCTCACACACACACACACTCTCTCTCTCTCAATTGACCGAGTGTGCGTACTGCATGTAGTAGCTGCTGTGCCTTGTCTCGCCTGGCTTTCCCGGTTCCGCCCTTTGGATACCTACAGTACCTACCTACAGTACCTGACTCTTCTACACCCTCCCCTATGTTATAGCCATCTGGATTAGCTCCTGGATCGACCCCCCTCTCCTCTCCCCCTACTGGTATCGTCAACCTCCATACTCGCACGGCCAACTCTCTCTCTCTCTCCCTCCCCCTCCTCGATAATAACGACCGAGTCCCATTCATCCGCCATGGCTCCTTCCTTGAGCCTGCGTCCTCGCACTGGTGACCGACCACCTACCAGAGACAACAGGGACAATACCGACCATAGCCTGATCATTCCGAGCCGGACCTCCTCTCTGCACTCACGAATCACCCAGCCCCTTCCATCCACGTTGAACGTCAAGCAGGGTGCAAAGAGCCCCAAGACACTCACCCATGCGTACATGGTGTGCGGTGTTGGCCGTGAACCCTCACAATGGGTCAAGGCACCTGCCCCAGCCCAGGGCAAGATCGGACACATGAAGGGTGCTGTCGGCACATTTTGGCTTCCTGAAATCTTGGGAAGCAGCCCTAGGCTGGAGCAGGATAATGAGATTGCTAGATCTCTGCATGCTGCGATGCGGGTACGAGACCATCGAACAATGGCTTTGTCCCCCAGACACTAACTTTGTTTTCCCACAGGCCTGCTTTCCTCACGACGTCGAAATCTGCACGGGCAGGAGCCAGCCACACTGCGTACACCACTCGTTTGTACTGCAACAAGACTCTTCACACACGCTTTACGGTATTGCGCTGCGCGTATGGTCGCGCGCTGATGAGAAGCGTGCCGAGACGATCCGTGATCTCCGCAAGCGCATCGAGCCCGATTTCTTCGACAGCCCGGATGAGACGTACTGGATCCCCTATTGCCTCAGCTTCCTTTCCCGTTATCCCTTGTACAACTTACTCGGCGACTACCTGCGTGGCATGTGGATCCACTGGAACAAGGCCACGAATCTCTTCCACGCCGAGGAGGTGTCTCGCATCCTGAGCTTCCCGGCCCCCCGCTTGAACGACTTGGTCCGAATTGACATGAAGGACTATGCCTTGTGCTACCAGTTCCCTTCTTCGCCTACCGGTTTCCAAAACTTCGCCATGTGGCCTCTGTTCACCTGTCTCTCCATTCCCAACATCGTCGGTGTGATTGAGGCGGCGGTGTCACCAACACGCCGAATCATCTTCACGAGTCACTACCCCGCCATGCTCACCATTGCTGCTGAAACAGTGCGATTCTGCGTGAGGGTGTACGAGTGGAGTGGCCTGTACGTGCCCGTCGTGCACGCACGTCACATCAAAGACCTTGTGCAAGAGCCGGGACCGTACATTCTCGGTGTGACGTCCGAGTGTCGCTCGCTCTTTACGGCACCAACTGACGCCCTGGTCGTCGACTTGGACCGCAATTTTGTTCTCACGTCCAGCCCACCCACCGCCTTGACGGCTGGGCAGCGGACCAAGATGATCACCCGTCTTACACAGGCTTTGAATGGTGAGGTCTCGCCCACGGGTGTACCACAGCACCTGCGATCAGCGTATGGTGGTGGCAAGCTGATCCCGGCCGGACAAATCATTGTCATGCGTGGCGAAGTCGAAAGCATCCAGGACCCAGAATGGTGGAGCCAGGATGCAGTCATGTCGGTCATGGACCACGTGTGTGAGAAGCTTGTAAGTCCTCCGCCGCAAGGTTGTCGCCTGCTTACCACGCTAATCATGCATGACAGGGTCGTAATTCTGGCATGAAGGCCATCTTTGGTGGCGCAGTCAAGAAGCCGCTGATGACCAAGGTGTCTATGCGCCACCTGAATGAGCTTGTGCGAGAGCGCAACCAATATTCTCGTGATGCCCAGGAAGCTTGGCAAGACTTTATCAATCTCAAGGGTCGCATGGACACGGAGCTGTCAAAGGTCTCCAAGCGCAACAACTTCTTGGTCGAGGAGCTGGAGAGCTGGAAGCAACAGTTCCTCAAGTTCCAGGCCTTTGCCGAGGCCCTCACGAAGGAGACGCAGGACCTCAAGGTCAAGATTGAGAACCACAAGCGTGAGAATCGTCGTCTGACCAACCTGATTGACCAACAAAAGGACGATGCTGCCCGTCTCACCATCCGTCTCTCCGGTACCGAGAAGCAGCGCGATGATGCGCTCGAGGCACTTGTTCTGCAGCAGGAAATTGCCGAGGAGCTTGAACGCGAGAGGAAGAGGAACAAGAAGGAGCTCGCCGCTCTTCAGCACACCAACAGCGCCATCATGCGCCAGCGCGACGAGACGCAGCGCGTTGTCCTTCACCTGCGCGCACTCATCGAGGGCCAGACCCACCACATGGAGCACATTGTCAAGTCGCTGAACCAAGACGACATGTCACACTACATGGAGGCTGGCTTCGAGGATGTACCAGAGGAGGACGAGGAATACGAAGACGCGGAGAGTCATTCGACTGCAAAGGACAAATCAGAGGTTGGTACCATCCGTGGTGTACCTGGTGTGGACAACCGCAACGATTCAAGAGTAAGCATGGCGCAAGGTACCCATCTTGATGGCGAGGACGTCACACCTGATATGGAGCAGCGTCTACACAATAGTCCAGCCCGGAACTCGAAGCGATTCTCGAACCAGTCCATGGTGGACGTCGCGGACCGAGTACTGCGCGATAAGACCGACGCCATTGCATACATTATCCGCAACATCTCTGAGCAGTGTGCCGCCGCAGTCGAAGGCCTACAGCTCGCACAACGTGCCGACACGGAAGACGACGAGCGCAGCGAACGCCGCAGCAGCGTTGGCCAGGTGTCCTCTCACGGAGGACGTGCGCAGTCCACTGCGGGCAGTGAGTACGGCGATGAAGACATGCTCCGACCGAACCGCGGATCGAGTATCCCTCCCACACCTGACCTAAGCCACAGGTCAAGTACGTCCATGTCCATGGCCAGCGCCTCGACAACGCCAGACCGACACAGTCTTCAGCACAGGTCACATGATGCGCAGGTCCCTACCCGCATCCTCGAAGACGAGGACGATGTCGACGGTACCTCGTGTGATCTATCTGCCGACATGGTGCCAGTCTCCAAGTACGCGCAGACTCCCCTTGCCCGGCCCAACCAAGCTGTCCGACATGTGCGATAAAAAGGCCCCAACTTACCTACCCTCTTCTTGATGTTCATTATCATTAGCGGTCGATCAACGAGAATTAGCATTGATGCCCCTTTCCTTTTGCAAATATTCTCCTTTTTTTGTCCTGGCGTCGGCAAAGGGGGGGAGTCGTCCGTCCACTTCTTTACTCTCCTTGAGAATTCTTTTTCCATTCATTTTTTTTTTCCCCATCACATATCCCCCCCCCCCCCGGCCCTTTGCGGGATCTTCTTGTGTTTATAAGGACGACGAGTGCGGTGCGCTATGCTCGCTAAAACAGGGAGGAAGAGGAACCGAGAGAGGGAGGCATAGTATAGAGATGAGATTTGGCTATGCTAGGCTCGCGGGTGAGGTGGAGTAGCCAAGCAAAAGCAGTCGAGGGAAAGAAGGCTTGGGCGGACCAAGGGCGGTGCCATGTTTGAGTGTGTGTGTGTGTGGATGATAGTCTTTTGGATGTTGGATGTCCTTTGTGTGTCTGACGGAGCCAGGCCAGCCCCCCTTATGTTGATTGTAATCTGTTGTCTTGTTAGGATAATACCATATCTCTTTTGATGTTTATATTTTGACTCGTCTTTTTGCTGGATTTCAAGGTGTATTATCGACGTGTTTGTTGGGTTTTGTGGCCTGGTTGTGAGGAGGGGCAGGGCTCTTCTTTGGGGGGTTTGATTAGTGTGAATGGTATGGGGTTTTTCTGCTGTGTATATCAAGGAGGTGAGAGGGGGGATGGACTAGGCTTTGTGGTGGATTTTGGACTTGTTATTTTCTATCCTAGTTTTTAGGTCCTGGTTCCTTGGTCCTAGTTCTTGGTCTTGGTCGCAATTCTTACCTCCGTCTAGACATTTATTATTGTCGCAATACTAATTTTAAAGGCCGGGGAGGTTTGCTGGATAGACCCTTTTGCTTTTTCAACGGGGGCGGTTTAGACTAGAGAGATTATTATAGCGTTTTGCTTTTAGCGTGTGTGTTTGTGTTTGTGTGCTAGTCTTTATCTCCTGTTTATACATTGTATCACACAACATCACGCCTTGTACCTTGTCTATTGTAAAAGGTCTTGCTTTTGCGTAGTTTGGCAAGCAAGAGGGTGATGGTGATGGTGATGGTGATGGTGATGGTAATAGTGATGATGATTGGAGATGGAGATGTAGGTGTAGATGTAGGAATAGATACAAGTATACAAAGCAGAAGAGCAGGGAGCAGTAGCTTGGAAGAAAAAGTACAACCTTGGAAAACTAGAGATAGGAAGGAGATGTAAATATATGTCTTGGAACTTGCATTCTGTCTATATTTTCCTTGTCCTATAGCTTAAAGCATACGGCAACCCTGCTGCACAAGAG